TAACAGCTGAGTAGCTGTTCTTGATTTGATGTTCTTTGGTGGCCACTGAACCGTTGTATCTGGATTGATAATGCAATTACAGCACTTTTCCTTCAATGAAAGAACATGTGACATAAATTTAACAAGACTGGGTTATGCATAAAAAAGCAAAAAAGCAAAGAAAGCTAAAATGGTTGCAAATGGCCACACAAAGGCAGGGTGAGAAGCTGGCTGTCATAGAAAGGGGGTGTGGGATGCAATAACCATTTAAATAAATGGACAGTCTCTCCTGGAAGATATTCAGTGTTGCACTTGTTTGAATATAGCAAGTGACAGATATGGTTGTGTAGAGAGTTCAAATCATTCCTACTTTCCCACCTCTGCACACCTGGCAAATCGTTGCATGATGTGGGTGTGAATGTTGGATTGTCATTTTCAGAAAGTTACAGAAATTGTCCGAAAAACACAACAAAAAAAACCCCATCACAGATTCAAAGTGTCTGTAGCCATTCGAGAGGCTGTACTAAACATCAGCATGCTCACATATTCTCACTGACAATGCTAACATGCTGATGTTAAACAAGTAAAATGTTTAACATGTTCACCATCTTTAACGTATTAACATGCAAACATTTGCTAATTAGGACTAAACACAAAGTACATCTGCGGCTGATGGCACTGTCTTTAATTTTGCAGGTAAAATTTTGGCAATCCATCCAATCGTAGTTGAAGCATTTCAATTAAAATCATAAATGTCAGGGGTGTTGCAGGAAAATCTGGGGATCACCACAGTCAGTAGGATTCGTCCTCTGTGGACATTGAATGTCTGTACGAAATTGGTGCCAATCCATCGAGTAGAGGTTGATATATTTCAATGGATAAGTTTTACCTGTCAGTGGCACAACATGAATGATCACCAAAGTCATTTTGATTAATCCTCTGGGCATCATGAATGTTTGTACTGCTGCTGCTCAGAAATTTCACTAAAAACCTAAAATGTCAATCATATGAAGATAGTGAGGGGGTTACCACAGTAGGCTTCATCCTGCAACACACTTTTATCAGGAGTGCATATTTCTGTTCAATATTCTTTAGTTTATGTCATTTTATATATTCCACACATCATCCTAATACACTGCTACATCTACTGTATGTCAATGTATAACCATTGAATATATGGGGAAATGTCTATCTGTTCTTTCACTCTGTTTTTATGAGCTACTGAACTGGTGGCTGTGCGGGCCCGGCAGTCTGTAAAGTAATTAATTTTTCAATTGTCACACATTTCTCTGCTTCTGCTTTGATAATTAAAAATGTTTTCCTTGACTTTTGGCTAAATAAAGGCCACCACGGATGTCAAGGAAACTACATTGTTATTTCCATGTTGTCTTGACTCAATCGGGCTTATTGAAGCGTTTGTGCCATATCAAATACAGCAGGACACGTCAGTTGTTCATTTTTCCCAACCGCCGGTGTCTTATGTCACACACACATGCACACACGAACACACACACACGCACACTGAAGCAATTAGCTGTGGCCTTGTGGTTAAATAATGGAGTGTAGGCATTCCTGGTGATTTCTGGGGAGTGGAGGAAAAAGACGATACTTTTATCCACTTCTTCTACAAGGTCCATATGTTTCATCTTTCATAGCAGACATGAATGCCCTCCTTCCACGCCCAGACTGTTAACAAATCTTCACCACAAATATCTGAGCAGACTGGGGTCGCTGTCGAATTGTTGAGTCCAGAAGGAATAATCCCTTGCCAGTTGAAGTCTCGAGTTACTTGAACCATCAACTAAAAGAGTTCGGACACTTTTTAGAGGTGGTTTGTAAGCTGGTTGGTAACTGCATCGCTGTTTTGTCTAAGTAGTTTCTTTATGCCCGGTGACCTTTATTAACCTTTATTTAACCTTGGAATAGCTTACTGAGCACTCTTTTCAGCCATGTCCTCATTCCTTCATGCTCACTTTCACTCATGTTCACACCTGGGAGATGCCCAGTACAAACACAGTCTCCTACTGTTATCCACTGATTAGCTGCAGTGGAACAACTTCAGATTTTCAGATTGTGACCTGGCAACCAACTGGGCACGGGGAGCGTTTGGAAAATCGAATTTGTATCTGCATTTACTTACTTAGTTGAAGAACAAGTAAGTCATTATCATTTTGTAAGTATTCTTGTACTGCATTCTTTAAACTGACTAAATGAATACCACTGTGGGAACAGCTGCTACCGAATTTCCAGTTAGTCATATGGCAAGTTTAAAACAAACATGGCTGCTGATGGAAACTGCAGTGCCCGAGCCTCCTTCTGTCCAAAAACATTTTTTAGCTTCTGGAAAAAAGAAAAAGCAAAAAAAAAAAGAAGCAACATGACTAGCAAAGGCTCGACAGATTGTCTGGTCTGCAGTTGGAGTTTGCTGCACATAAAGAATCACACATGTATAAACAAACCTCAGACCAAACATCTAAAATCACCAGAAAACTTTTAAGGTTTAAATAAAACTGCTGAGAGGCAGAAAAGAGAGATGGAGAGTGCACTGGAGAGGATAATTCCTGACAGATTATTCCTTTACCAGATGATACGCTCAGTTTTTCCATAGACACGGCCATGCACATGCACACAGACATCTTACACTTCTTTGTAATGTCTTTCATGATGCAGTCATATTCCTCCAGGGAAGGAGACATTTGTGTGTGCCTCAGTGTGTCTAATGGTAAATGCATTAACAGTGTGAAAGAAAAGGATGGGACACAAAGGCTCAGCAGAGCAACAGAGACAGACAGGCGTCTGATGTGTAGGACCTTTGAGATAACCCACCACACGTCTGACCCCTCTCTGCAACATTACCTCCTATATTCTCTCAGGTGCTCTCCTATTGAAACTTCACATTTTGTACACCCGACATCGCTCTTGTGACCTGACCTCAGTGTTCGATGTGTGCCTCTAAAAAAGAAAATGCACAGGAACAGCAAACTTCCTGACTCAGCATCAGTAACAGAAGGTAAATCATTTCCTGACCACAAAGCTAAAATTTTCTGCAGACCAGTTATGTGCAGGGACGTTGAATAACAGCCTGTCTTTCTTTGCTCTCTATTATTCTTCATTTCACATTCCCAACTGTGAGGCAGCAGTGAGGTGGTCGCAAAATTGGAGGTTGTTAAGATTTGATCTCAGTGTAATTCACAGGGGAAGACACCGGGGAGGTAAAATAGGTAATACAGTTACTTCTTGCAAAAACTGCTGTCAAGCTTGATCCAGAGCAGCAAAGTCCCCCAAATCCCTAAACCTTCAGCGGCCAGCAGCTGAAGACTTTGTTGTACTTGAAAAGATCCCAAGTATGACTGAGCTTAGATGTATTAAAGTGAAGCAGAGAGGGAGCGTGATGAGAAATCAGCGGCTTTACTTTGAATAAATAAAGATTTTAGAAAGGACCCTGCTTAATCTCTTTAAACGTAACCTTTTCCAGCATTTCACAGCGCTAAACAGAACATAAACCCCAGTGTGTGACCAGAGGTTAGGTGGTATTAGAAGTTGGGGGAATTGCTGCTGTTACACACACACACACACACACACACACACTCCTGTCCCTGCCTGTACACACAACAAGTTCAAGTTCAAGGAACAGGAAACATGTGAACTGAGAAAAACACTTATTCACTTTTTTTTCCAACAACTTTGAGAGGATTAAATGTGAAGCTACCACCATTAGCTAGTTAACTTAGCTTAGCATAAAGACTAGAAATGGGGACACAGCTAGCCTGATTCTCTTCTAAACTGGTTGCTATAGCAACTACTATAAGGTACAGTCCAGCAACCCCACAAAATGGTGCATTGTCATTTTTATGCCTTAACTTCGGAACAAATCAGACAATAGGTACAACCTGTTTGTAGACTTTGTGCTAAGCTAAGTCACGCTAACGGAGTTTCCGTAGTGTAGTGGTTATCACGTTCGCCTAACACGCGAAAGGTCCCCGGTTCGAGACCGGGCGGAAACAGTTTTTCAAGAAATTTGCCCCGCGGATCAATAAAGTATTTCTGTTCTGATTTCTAACCAGCTGCCGGCTTCAGCTACCTATTTACTGACTTGTTTAAACATAAGAGTAGTTTATAAAATGCACCAGAAATCAGTAAGACCAGACACAGACAACATTTAAAGTGTATTGGTGTGTCAAATGTAGGAAAATCTAGTTAAATGAAATGTCTATTATAGTCTAGAGCTGTGTGCGTCTACAGAAGTCTATGCACATTTACCTTGCCCTTCTTGGTTTGTGTTGTAAACAAAGTTTCTTATAATTAACTCATCAGTCTGTCATATAAATCTTAATTGTCTGACATGATCTTTAACCTCTCAGTCCTGAACCCTCACTCTTTCCACTGACCCCGAATGCCCCTCTCTTCTCCTCTCTCAACTCTGCTGCTCCACATTCTAAATTTCCTTGGGGACATTTCTTCCTCCTCCATATTTCCTTTGCTGTTCTCCTTTATTTTTCTCTCCTCTTCTCCTCTGTTCATGCCTGTTGGCATCACTCTTGTTGCTTCTGGCTATCAGTGTTTTTTCTCACAAGTCTGACTCTCATTGCCTTATTTGTCCTAATAATGTTACTTTACATAGCTGTCCCTCTCCATTTTGGCTCCTTTTGTGTATGTTTGTTGGCCTCTGTGTCTGTGTTTTTGTCTGTCTGTCTCCCTCTGTCTGCTTATGTGTCTTTCTCTACTGCTGTCTCCCCCACCATCTTCCCTTTTCCCTCATTCACTTTCACAGTTCATCTGTTTTCCTCTGACACACACACACACACTCTCTCTTTTTCTCCTTCAGCCAGGGAACGTTGTACTGGTGTTGTGTTTCAATACAGTAGGAAATATTTTCAACCGTGCAGGAAATGTCTGAAGTGCTAGATTCATTCTCTTCTCATGGACACACACACACACACACACACACACACACACACACACACACACACACACACACACACACACACGCGCGCACTCATATAAATGCACACACACAGTCCTCATATAAATACTTTTTTTATTTGAAAATGAAATGTAGTTTTAAGAGTGGGAGTATATTTCATTTCATTTCATCTGGCATACAGACGCTGGAGGGAGAGCCAGGCTGCAGACGGGAATGTCACCATAGAAGAAGGGGTCTGTCAGCGGGAAGAGAAGCACCAGAAACAACAGCACCCCCATCAAATACGAGAAGACAAGAGCTGATTGTTGAGGGTGTTTCAGGGCAGAGCTGATGTCGGGCAGGCCCTGACTGTTACAGAACGAATGACACAAAACTGGACCCACGACATGACCTATAGAAAGAGATTACAGATTTAATGAGGTTTGTACTGAAGGTGTTGATCAATGTGCTATTCACTTCATCTCTCACCAGTTCTCATGAATATAAAGGCAGTAAAGGCACCAAACACAGTTGTATACAAGAACTGCATCCCTGCAACAGAACAGCACAAAAGTAATTATGTTATTATAGTATTATAATAATGATATAGGAACATACAGAAACACAGATCTGGATATAATAATAATACTAAATCTCTTAATTCATACAAATGTGTACTTAAAGGTTGTTTGCCATGTTGCAGCTGTAGGTCAGTCTATAGGGGCTTGGGAATGGGAGGGTAGTCAGGTCAAGTCCTGCACAGACCACAGTATGAAGTGTGGACTAGGAACTGCCAATGTGCCATTGAGCTTCTGGGACACTGTGTGTGTGTGTGTGTGTGTGTGTGTGTGTGTGTGTGTGTGTGTGTGTGTGTGTGTGTGTGTGTGTGTGTGTGTGTGTGTGTGTGTGTGTGTGTGTGTGTGTGTGTGTGTGTGTGTGTGTGAGATTGTATTTCAGCCTATATGTGTGAAAATAAAATGTCCCCATTTGGGATTAATAAAGTAAATCTTCTTGACAGAGTTTAGTTTGTGATCCAATAACCAAATCAATCCTAAAAAAGACACATGTGCTTCAGATTAGGTTTCTGTCTTTGAATTTATTAGCTTGTGTTAATATAATTTGTTTTATTTAAGAAGAGTTTTGTAAGCCAACTGACCTGACACCAAGAGTATGACACTCATACTGTCCTTGTGGAGGCGCCGTTGCTCTATGATATGGTGGAAATGAGCTAGAACGACACAGTAAAGTAGCAATGGATTATAGTGAAAACTTAAGTTAAAACACACTCTTAATACCATAAAATTGTAAATAAAACTAGTAAACATAAAAAAAGGGTTTAATTCATAAAAAAGTTAACTGGTGTATTTTATCATTCATTAATCTGTTATGATAATGTAAAACGTAGTACTAATGTTTACTGTAAAAGAGTTCAACGTAGGCTAGATTGTAAATTTGAGTTGTTTACAGCCTGAGAATCCGGTTGCCATACCAACACCGAAGAACAGCGGAGCCATGAAGATGGCAGCTGTGGGTCCTGTGCAGGGCACCAGCATGGGCATCATGGCCCCTCTGAACACCAGCTCCTCTGTCAGTGGTGCCACCACCTGGTTCCTGAGCCACACTACATCTCCCACACACAACCTCCATGACTGAACATCTGGGAAAGTAAAGTCAAGACTCAAATGCATGCAAGCGCACATGTAAAACTCCCCAAACCTGATTATTTTGACATGACATTAAGTGCTAGACACAATGTTTAACTCACCTAGTGCAGACTGCAGTTCCCCAGTGAAGCCTTTGGGGTTGTCCATTGCAGACTGGACCAGGGGACCGAGATAACATACCTGATGTTTTGAATAAAATCAAGTGTTTATTACATCCAGTGGAACTATATAACAAAGATTAAAGAGCAGGCTCTTGAGACTACGGGGCACATTTTTTCAATATGTGGTTTAAACATGCACATGGGATATCGCTGCAGAATGCATACATTTAATGGCGGTTGTAAAGCCATGCTGCATCGTATTGGGATGGAAGCTGAATCTCTGAAATGTCAAAACTGCCTTCGTGCAGCATAAATAAAATATTCTAAGAGGGAAACAGGACCCATAGAGTTGTGTTTTAAGCTACAAACCTTTAAGTTCTCAGGTTGACTTTACAGCCGTAGCAGGTTATGAAAACTATGGTAGTAAAGATAGTTTTAAAAAGCAAATGTTGTTTCATGGAAAACATGTTTATCTTTTATTCTGTCCTAAATTAAGACTCCTCAGTGCAATCAGTAATCCCTATTATGACATAAAAACAGGTGCTCAAGTTGTTATATAGTCCAGAAAAGAAAACATTCTTCTCCAAAAGGTTATAGTTATAGAAACATCTGTTTCTGACGTACCATGGTTAGTAGTAGTGGCAGTATCGCTGCAGGAACCAGGCTTTCCAATCGAACTCCCATCAACTCCCACACTGACGCATCGACCTGGAAGGCCAGAATACGGCTTTATAAACATAGTTTTTACCCTAAAGTGATTAGAAAGTTAAGCCCATGTGACCCAGGCTAAACCTCACTAAAAACCTCATGTATAGTGAAGATGGCCCCCAGGAGTGAGTTAACTGCGCTTCAACTGGAGGGTCTGGGTTCATTCGCCTCTGTCCCTTTCAGCCTGACCTTTGACCTCCCCTGGAATGGGTCTTCACAGTTTAACCAGATGCTTTCTCTATCTGGAGGGTGATGATGGTTACTTGTATTTGAAGCACATTGAAGTGTGATAGCATACAGTGTGAGCATGAGTATCTGAGTCATGCTGAGCTACATTTAATGCCTCAAGCTCTACTGTGCTGGTGTATTAATATTCTTTTGGTATTGATTGGGCATAGATTACATATACACTCAGTTTGTTAGGCGCACCTAGCTAAAACTAATGCAGTCTAATACAACAGTTCTTCATTAAATCCTATCTTCATGAAAGTTTCTTTTGTCATTCTGGAGGATTCAGTTTGAGCTGTGGCGTTGTTGACTTACACAGGGATGTATTTCTGTCATTTAGCCCACCCTCATTGATATAAACGGTGTGGACAAAATAATACTACGCACATATAGTCAGTATAACGCAATAAAGTGAGCGTATTTTACCTGTTCTTCTCTGTAATGTTCTCTAGACAAACCGTGTCAAGGATCATTGTAAGATCAAAATGTTGCTCTGTGTCATTTATTGGTAATTATCAGTAGCCTACAGGTTGCAGATTATTATTTTTTGTGTGTGTGGAAAAAAGTGTCCTTTACTAAAGTAAAAATAGCAATGCTGCAATAGACATACGCCATTATAACTATTATCACCTGGAGAATCAAAGAGACAAAAGGCAGATGCAGAGAAAAGCATGTTTTGTCCATGTGTACTCACCCTGACATCAGCCCAGTGTATCCACCCCTTCACCACTGCAGGTGACAGTGTGGAGACCAGCAGCACACTGGCACAGCGACGCTTAATCACACTGGGGTGGTCCCTGCACACACACAAAAACACACACACATACAGCAACAGTTTAATAGTCAGTCTAACAGCACTGTCACACCGCTGCTGGTGAGTTGTATACCTGGGTAAGCTGCTCCTCCAGACGTACAAACTGCCAACGTACACACAGGCGAGCAGGAGGCAGCTCAGTACACACACCCAACATCTTGTGTGGGCGTGCTCCTCATGCGTTATAGGGCCATGTTCTGATTCCAGCATGACAGAACCGTGGGTTTTGCTACTAGAGCTTCAAGGAGGTGCCTCAGGTGAGCTTCAAGCTAGGGCAGGTGCATCACGCTTTGGATTGGTTTGGTTCTGTCTGTCAATTCAGATTAGTAGATCCTCATGAAGTGGAGATCTCTGCTGAAGAGAGAAGCTGATTAGCTCTAATACTCTACTTGGAGGACACATGCTTAGGTGAGCATGTAAACACACACGCGCGCACACACACACACAGCTGGTAACCTGACTTCACATTTTTGCTTTTTCAAAAACATTGATAACTAAATTAAACCTGGTTTGCTCTGTCGATTCCTCAACTGCACCCACCTCGTCGAGGCCTCCACCCTCCCCCTGAGCCCCTGAGCCACACAGACTGAGCAGGAACAACAGCAAACCAAGAACAACCCTCATTGTCCAGTTGCACATCTTCACAAAGGTACAGTGGTAGAGTTGGTCTGTCTTATATAGTCTCCAAACTTCAGCTGGCTGAACGAATGGGAACAACAACAAGTGACTGATTCAAGGCCTCAGATGATTAAATATGATCTCTGTGCTGGTGAGAAAATACAAGCTGCTACAGGCTGGTGGAACACTTTTACTAAGATACTCTCTCATGCAGTCACAGCTGTATATACACTGTGTTTATTAATACACACACATAGACAAACACAGAAACCAACTTATCCTGATACTAAGGCCTTTTAGTGTGACTGAGGGTTATCTGATTAAAGTCAGTGAGTGAGAAAAAGTTTTTTCTTCACTCTGTCTCACTTCTTGTCTCATTTTCTGTGATATTTTATGAATTAATATATAAAACTGCACTCTGATTGTGAACATCTTTTACATCTTATATTATGATTTTTCGTCTTATAAATTATTTGTTAAATAAGACTGTTGAACTATGGTCAGGGGTGAAAGGTCAGGGGTTCGGATGTTCCTGTTAGACATGAGGTAGAAACCCTCCTGTAGCATTTTACTGACTCATGCTGTCAATGTTTTGTTTAGATAACTTATTATGCAATATTTCATAGTATTTTATTGTTGTTTTTGTTTACTTTATATCATGTTTAGGCAAAAAAATAATGGTCATATATTTTATATATAAATATTCTTGAATGCTTACACACTTTTCAGTTTATATTAATATTCAAAGGGAGTGTGTCTTTATAAAAGAAGAGTATCTCTGTAGGCCTACGTCACAGTTAATGCACAAAGGTACAGTTTCTTTGCATTTTCAGAACAACTTTGTTCTCTAAAGTAGGCTTTCTTCACATTTCCCTTTATCTATAAGAAACAGAAAACTACTCTGTTTAAAACAAAAGTGCAGCTATGTTGAAGAAAAAATAACATTCCCTCAAATATGTGCTCTAAAAACTGGTTTCAAGGAAGTTGAGATAATTGGCTACATTTGATCTCCACTAACTAGTATAAACGGAGACATTCTTGTGCCTGCAGGACATTACATTGTGATGAGTCCCTGTGAGGTCTGTGTGATCACAGTGGATCCATAATTTCCACTGACAGTTTAAGCAGCAAAAGGTCCTGTGAATCTTGAGTTTTTACATTTTGTACTACTTCTATTCCACCACAATTCAGAGGGATATATTATTATATAATATTGTAGAGTTCACTCCACGACATTTAGTTCTGACAGGTTTTACATTAAAACAATATGATTATTCTAGAGGATACAATATATTGTTAAAGATTAAACCAATGATTCCCAACCTTCCTGACTTGTGGCCTCTTAAAAAGAAGCAATGTGTAGTTGGGGCCCAGTGCCATGTTTCAGATGTCTGTGAGTTGTTCCACCAAAGAGAAACTTTCCCTCAAAACAATTTACATGGTTTTATTTAAATGACAGTTTAAGTCCTAAAGAGGTAAAATGATTGCATATTTAAAAAAAAACAAAACATGATTATAAAAAGTCCCAAAAAAGAAAATAATCTTGTGCAACAGAACTTTGTTTTTCTTTCTTCCTCATTAATCATCTGATGACCCCTCAGATTGAGTTTATGATCCTTTAGAGGGGCCCATACCCAGATTAAGAACCTTTACATACCTTTATAAAGTAGTTTGAAATAATAAATCAGCCAGCTACAACAGTAACATGCTGCTAACACATTGCAGTATGAACTGTCTAATAATGTCACATACAAAAATATATATATTTTATATATGTTTTCTTTTTACATAGTTAGAAACTGTAAATAGTTGCAGTATGTGAACATCAGAGCAGTTCATGGGATTCTGTCAATGTCTATATAAAGACCTACAGTCCATGACAACAAACAATAAAAAAACTTCAATGAATCTCTGATTTATTTGAATGTTGTTTTCATGTGACGATACAAGAGGGAAGTCAGATTCAGAATCACATTATTTGATACATTCACTAAGTGTACAGTATTTTCTAAAGAATCACAGTGTAGCAATAATAAGAGTTTGTGACAAATCAATCACACAGCAACCAAACAACTTCCTTACAGTGGGAAGAGAAGGGCACCACTGAAGGTACTGTAGTTATGTCCATCGTCATAGAGAGACAGGCCTGATGGGAGAACAAGGTGAATTTCATCTCCTGCTATCAGCTCCAAGACAAGAGAGTTAGTGAAATACTCAGGACCCCCATTACTGTCCCAATTACGCATAATGCGTTTGCTGTTCATGTACACATCTATAGCCATAGAACCTGTTAGGTAACCATACGCAGTGAACTGGAAATAGTAGACCCCTTTCACTGGTGCTGTGAAGAAACCTATAGAGTAAGAAAAGAAAATTAAAAACATTAACAATTAATTGATGGAGATTTCCATGACCTCATGTGACCTGCAGTATATTACCTGTAGCTGGATTGTAAGCATTGCCAGTGTTGGTGAAGACCTTGCTGTATTTCAGTGTGATGTCAGTGTTGTATGGTCCAACTTGTCCTGAATTAGTCAGAGCTGTGTAAAAGGCCACCTTTGGTTTCTCTGTTAACACAAAAAAGTTAATTTATGTCATTAAACTTAACTTAACTACACTAAATACGGTGTATTTGTGTGTGTGTGTGTGTGTGTGTGTGTGTGTGTGTGTGTGTGTGTGTGTGTGTGTGTGTGTGTGTATCATCACCTTCATTTTCTCTCTCCACCTGGTCAATCCTGGACTTACTGACGAGAAGTTCACTCTCACTGGTACTCAGTCTGGACTTTAAGTCTGGAGTTAATACAATGACAGTGAATTACAGAGCAGAGCAGCCATCAAAATATTAAACAGTTAACATGCAAAACAAATAATATACAGTGAGTACTCCAGACATTGAATCCTACTGACTTTGGTGATCCTCTGACTTTTCCTCTGGCGCCACCATGAGGTTGACATTTGTGGTTTTGAGTGAAATGTCTCAACAACTGTTGGATAGTTTGTATTGAAATCGATTTCTCCCTCAGAATGAGTTGTTATCACTTTGGTGATCTCTTAACTTTGGATTTATGATTTGATACTGTTTAAATAGATCGCACCAAAAAACATGTTTTCCATGTAAGTTGTGAGCTGGTAACCTAACTTCACATTTTTCCTTTTTCAAAAACATTTAGAACTAAATTAAACCATTTATCTGGTGTTTCAAACTCAAAGTGATTGTATATTTTGAGAGAGATGCTTAATAAAACATGTGTTTGTTGCAGGAGGACTGTATTAGATTGCATATATTTCACAGCTTCATCTTATGTCCGTAGCTAAAAAGATACAGAATCCAAAGATGTAAGCAACCAACCAATATTTATTTTTCTTTAACATATTTATCAATATCAAACATCACATCACCACCTCATAAATATAGACAGCAACATCAGGTATACAGTGTGTGATAGGCATACAGTGGTGATGTGAAGCAGAGTACCACTTTATCAGCACATCTCAAAAAGCATGCATACAGTAGTCAAAGGACACAGAAATGAGGAAACAGCTTCATTTCTGTGGATCCAACAGGCACGAACATTCAAAACATACACATTCTGGGTGTTTAAGGCATTCTGGGTATTTGCATCCTTTGTGTGCTCAGGAAGTTTGATATCTCCTTAATATGAAGAATGTGTAACATCTAAAAAAAACAAAACAATCAAGTGTAATATTGCAATAAGTGGAAATGCTTTCATACTTTCAAAGTGTTATTCTAGGGGTCATCCTACAGTTGAAAACATGTACCCTGTACTCGTAACATTGGGGGTTTGAGTCCAGCTCATGACTTATCACGTTATTTTTATATCTAATCTGATTTGGCATGTTACCAGCAAATATTTGTCACTTTCAGGGTGGAAATGTCTTCAACAAAAAGACGAATATCACCAGAAACAGAACAAATTTCTCAATGTGTGCAGATCAGAAGCAGCTGTAAACGATTTCCCATAAAAGTTCCAAGGACACATTTCCACCTCAACAGATTATGACAAGCTCTTGTTGTGGTGATGGGAACCTATTCTTTATATAAAAAAGAAGAGGAAAAGCCAGTGATCAAAAACTGAACAAACAAATAAACACACAAACACATAAAACAGCATATGTGCAAAAAATGTACAGCAATCTGACACATAATTTCAATAAATAAAAATATGTGAATAAAATCTAAATAATACTTTTTGATTAAGACAGACTTAAATGGTTTTTGAACACTTTCAAAGAAGACACAGTTTGCAGCCTGTCAGGTTTCCTTATATTAACAGTTCTCTGGGAAAATAAAGGCACTAAAAACACAGGGAAATATGGAGCCCCGGAGAAGTCCTGTTTTTCTCTTTTATTCAAAATAAAACAAAAATAATCATCTTTCGGGACTTCAGAGGCTTAGTTGTAAAAGCTGGTTGTGTGAGTCCTCTCACTGCAGCACACATTTGTCTTTGTTGCTGTATTTTTGCCTCCTCATCTCTAGACCACGCTCCAGACGCTCATCCTCCTCCAGTGCCCTGCAAACACACACACACATATTACAGTACAGTGCATATGACATTAACTCTTAGCCATCTAAACCCAGACCTGTATCAACTAGTTTATTGGAAATAAGGAATAGAAAATATTACATATCATTGAACTAAATACACTTTTATGTTTCGCTTTTTGCAAGCATTAACCTGAGGGTTTAATTTGAAACACGATGATCAAATAATATCAAATATATTGTATGTAAATGTGTTTTTGAAGCGTTTTTATTTAAGGAATTTGGAATCTACCTATGTTTTGTCTTTTTCACACCACTATACACCCACGCACACTCACCCTCTCTCCTTGGCGTCGATGTCTCTGATGATCTCGTCCCGTTGGTTTACCAAAGACACAAGCTCTTGGAGGAGCAGCTGCTCCCTCTGCTGCTGAGTGGACGTCTTCTGCCAGTCTGCAGGACAAACAGCAGAACTTTACATGTACAGCGAGGAAAGGGCAGTTTATTGAAATAATAAATAACACCAGATGTTTGTGACGTTGGTGGTAAACAGCTGATTTTTAAAATAAAATGTACATTTTAGGCTTGTATTGTTTTTCTTTTGTCTGTATCTTATTATCAGCATGTAAGACATAAAATCACTTTTAGTGCACTACTATGTATGAAAGGTGCCATACAAATATTGATTGACGTAACTTCAGGTTTTTGCATTTCATGCTCTTTTATACTACTACTCTATACTATTCTCAGAGGGAAATATCGCATTTGTACAAATTAAACTACCCTACAGCATTCAAAATTGTTTACATTAGCTCTACATTTACCAACACATTAAAATGCAATGCAGTATTTTACACTTCGGTATTGCTACTTTTACTTAAAATATCTGAATACTTCCAGTGTTGGTTACTAACCTTCTATAGCCATCATGACCCGAAGTTCTCTGTTCAGAAGCTCAAATCTCCTTTCCAGATCCTGCTCCTCTTGCCTGTAGACACAGCCAGCGGTCAGACAAATAGGAAGAGTGTATTATATTTGTATGTGTCTACTGTTTGTGTGTGAGAGGTCTTACAGTAGTTCCAGGTTGTCCTGTCTGCGTATCAGAGCATTCTTCTTGTTCACCAGAGTGAACCACTCCTGGATCAGTCTCTCCTCTTCATCACGGTCGCTTCCTGTGTAAACAGAAAAAGTTTGACAGTTTGTTTACAACTGTCGTAGAAAATCTACACCATCAAGTGTGCAAAATACAGGCTGACTGACTCAGGCTCTCTGGAAGCTTAACACAAATACAAAAATGTCTCAAAAATGAAGATAATTATTTTCCACTTGCCCATGTTGTAAAATGTATTTGCATGTTGAAAGGCAATGATGTTGAAAGAAGATGTCCAAACTAAAAATATATTAAGTAATATATATAAAATAATCAATTTTAACGCTGAGGTTCAGCAAAAGTCTTATTTATGTCTTTAAATAGACATATATATCTAAATTAATGTTGAGATAACTGCAGGTAACAAGCAGTTTGTGTTTCACCTTGTTGTGTTTGCTCCTTTATAGGTGCATGGATTTTTTTCAGGAGACAATAAATGCCCTTACATTTCTAGACTTGTTTTAAAGCTTGTTTTTTTTAACAGCATGTAGGTTTAACTGGCATTTTTCCACAGCAGCCATTTTGACATGAAATAGTAGGGAGAACACAGGTGTTACAAATGATACTAATTAAGGCTCTGTTCCATCCAGTGAGCCAACTTGCACAACAGCAGCACGCTGACCCTGTTTGACCTGAAAGGAATATAACCTTAATTAGTAATTGGTTACATCTGTGTTCATGTCAAAATGGCTGCTGTGAAAAAAGTCTATTTTGGAGAATGACAAGCATGATGTGGGTCTTTTATTTTGGAATTACTTGCAGTGCACATAGGGCATGGATTTACCCAATTGTTGGTGGATATTTTGCACACTGCCACCACCACACAACACATTTAAAAAAAAAAAGTTGATTCCCAGTGAAGTTGAGCTATTTGATGTTGTTGTTATAAATCTATTGCATCCAGTTTGAATCTATTCAACTAAATGCTCTACTGGTCAGTTCTCAGTCCAGCTCCCTGAGTCCTTTCTGTGGATTACTTACCTGTTTCCATGAGGCTTCGCAGTCGTCTCTCCACCACAGCGGCTCTGCTGTCGATGTGCTTCTGCTCCGTCTCCAACGCTGCCAGCTCACTCAGCACATACTGGCTGGTGTCCTGCAGACACTGACCACAAGCCCCATCACACACACATGCAGACATGCATACATGCAAACACATGCATGTACATACACAAGACAATAGCAGACAGCCACAAAGAGAGGAAATAGGGGAAAGGAGATGAAAGGAAAGAGGGAGTTGGGGAAACGACAAGTAAAAGAAAAAGGTCAAAAGATTAGAGAGAGGCCAAAAGGAAGAGATAATACAAGCTGTAAATGCAGATGTTATTATTATTATATATATATATATTATATATTAAAATCATTTCTTTATTTTGAATTTTACAAGGGCAAAGCAGATATGATTCAGTAATGTTAATTGTGTTTATTGATTTGACCTGGGAGATAGTAAAGAAAAGAAGTAGATAAGATGAGTTAAGTGAGGAACACATAACTGACCATTGTTTCCTCTTCTTGTTTGGGAAGCTGGGTCTCAGCTGAGCTCTGCAACTCTGTACACATAGACCCACATGTGTGCACACACACATACAACAAAAGAGAACAAAAAGAAGATTGAAGAAGAAATATTGAAAAATATTTAAAGTATTAGAGTATTGTATTCAGGCTTCAGGTACCCACCTGTTTTATTAGTGATTTCTGTTGTAGAGTCAGTCACTGTGTCTTCATTCTGGACAAGAAAAACATGAAACCTTCACAGTAACTATCATAATCACACATCCAGTAAAAAAGTGTGTGTGAGTTTTTCTCCAGGTGAAAATACAATTTGACGCTTTAAAAACTTACTGTTAATGTTGTTTTAGAACAATTTAGACAATACAGTTAAACATGAGTTAGTTACAGTAAAAAAATGAAGTGTTACCTGAGCCACTCCAGATTTGACTCCTTTGTTAATCGACCTTGGGGGTGGGACTGGGATTATTGACTCTTCCACTAAAAACAACAACAACAATAACTTCACTTTGAGTCTTAAAGACCAAATAAGCAACAATCATAATCATCCACTTTTTAATCAACATCATTAAGCATTAACTATTTTTAATTTTTTAACATCATTCATTTTGATTGTGCGGGTGAGGTGTGATCAGATTTGATGGGCAACAAAAGCAATCAATCCCTCAACTGTCATCACATTTTTATTCAATTTTCTTGCTCAGTGAGATCTCTCATCTGAAATAACTAAAGCTGTTTGGGATAAATGTATTCATTTAGGACCTTTTCAGTAAGAAGAAGATAACATGTTTTCAGGGCCTTTCAGGAGCTTTGAAATTAGATCAATACATTTTAAACTGAGAGAGATACTCATATCTCAAAATGCCATATTTATCGCTGCACCATTCTGTCAAATGGAAAACTGCATGATTTTATACACATTCCCATCAAATTCAGCATGACTTATTTGGTATGTTTGGGAACCTTGGGAAACCTACTAGAATCTTAATTGAGGTGCTGTAAACTTGATTTAATGATTTGTTTATTCTTGCTCTCTGCCTCCTTAGCTCAAACTGAGCTACTTCACATTCCTAAGTTCCCTGGAGACACACTAATGTTTCCCCTTTCCTCTTTTCTTTTCTGTTTTTCTGACGTTTTTTTTTTTTCACTTCATTATTTGTCTCTTGTTTTTCTGTTATATTTTGTTCAAATTTCCATGGATCACAGCATGGACAGAATCTTAAGTGAGTTTGACTGCACAATGTTTTATGATGACCCCCTAAAAGGTCCATAAGATTGAAGTTAAAATTAGCCTCAAGACAGATGGGATGAATCACATTAGAAATTATCATTAAGGTGTACAGGGATTTAAATAAAGTGTAAGTATAACAAAGTTGAAGTAGAGGCAGACACCTTTAAGCAGTCGTTTAGTCCTTGGTGGTGGGACGACCAACGTGCTGCTTCCTCCTTCCTCTAGGCTCACTCCTTCATTTAGTCTGGCCATGCAGAAAGCAGCAGCGTCGTCATTAGTGGGACCAGGACCTGAAAGGGCGAGGCCATAGCTGGACTGGCTGCTGTTGTGCTCTATCTGCAGCACGCTCAGCTCCTGGTTGGTAAAGTGTGAGCGGATCTGACTAAGGTACGTCATGACTATGAGCCTGTCAGGGACGGACAGAAGAACCATGTCTGACGGCTCCAACAGACGAGAGATGCCCAGCGCCTCGAAACCGTCAAACGCCTTAAGTTATCAGAAAAGAAAGACATCATCAGTAAAGAAACAAACTGTATGTCAAACAAGGTTAATTTTAGCCAACAATAGCTAACACGTCACTGTATATATTGCCCTGACTGACTGAGTCAATACCATGTCTCGATTACAGAAGAAATATTCCTTGGGTGAATGTATTAACAACTATCTTAAAAGAATAACAGAAACAACATCTAAGGGGAGACCATTGAAACAGAGCAGAATGATTAAAAACATTATGAAATAGAAATTATTCTGTATTCTAGCCAAGAAACTCTGGACTTCTAAGAGAAATATCTGTTAAATAGTAAACTATTAACACTGCTCTTGGCATTAAAGAGTTGAAAATATAATTTATTAGCATGCACTTCGTCCTTACCTTCTTGTTGTTGATTTTGATGTCATGAGGGTCCAACTGATCAAAATCTCTAAATGGACAAAAACCAGGAATAAAATAATGAGAACAAACCTACAGCAGGTTTACAACATTTAATTTATGTAGGGCTCAAACTAACAAATTATTAGTTCTCGATGAATCAATTTATTGTTTGCTCTATAAAATGCCATAAAATAGTTAAGAATGCCTTTTACTATTTTACAATCACACAGAAAAACTGAGATGCTCAAACCCAAAGACATTAATTGATATGAAATCGAAAATAGAAGCCTATCTGCAATACATTTTCAACCAATTAATGAATTGTTTGAACTCTAAATGAATGGTTTGGAACATGATCATCTTACAGCAACGGTGAGTCATGTTAAAAAACGCAATGCGAAATCAGTTACATAACTAGAAACAAAATTAGAAAGTTGCCTTAAGCTGAGAAAGAGATTATGGTGCTTGTATGCCATACATTTTATCTGGATGGAAGTGATGTAGGATGGCACAGAAGGCCAAGCCATTTCTCCAGGATGTGCTGAAGTTGGTGACCTTTACCCCCCGGTACCCATTGGTGATGTTCTGACACCACTGGAGCAGTGACTGGCTAGAGTTCACCAGGCCCTGGATGAGAAGGAGGAGGAGAGAGGAAGAAGATGGTGGTTGTGTATGTGTGTGTTTGTAATTAAAAACAGCAGTTTATGTGCACATCAGTATTGTGAATATTTACCTCAGCTGCATCATCCTTCCCATCAGCTTCCTCTCTTACCATTGGAACTGGATCAGGGGTCTTGAGGTCAGAGGTTTCTTCTTCTGCTAACGTAGGAAGTCGAGATGTATTCATCTCACAGTGATGGTGAAGAGATTGTTTATCACTGGTGTTTGTGCTGGAGGGGTCTTTTGCCTGAGATTGTGGTTTCTTCTTTGCACCATCAGGGACGTCGACCAGTTTGCCTTTTAGCCTAAGAGGAGACAGGACATAAACAATAGAAAAGAAAAGTGATGAACAGAAAGATTGACTTTGTTTAGTGGAAGAAAGGAGATCATCCAAGCAGCCTAGGATCAGCATTGTTACCAGTGATTCGTAGATGCGAGCGAGAGACGTGCAAGCTTGCTGACACAACAGCATTGCAGCACTGGTTTGATGTTAGAGGGGATGATAGGAAACACAGCATGAAACAGGGAACCTATATTTTCAGCATGGTTGACTCAACACAGGTCTATGCTGTTTCGCCAATATTTTAATCCCATAAGAACCAAGCAGATTCACCAGATTGTTGTCCGACGTGGCAGCAGTTCTTGAAACTACGTGGCATCGCCCATGCACTCAGGTGGCAACACACACACATAAACACACACACACACACACACACACACACACACACACACACACACACACACACACACACACACATTCTGCCAGAGGTGTTTTAAGATTTTAAGTCCAAGTCAAATCTCAAGTAAGACAAGACAAGTCAAAGTTAGGTCTCAACAAATAACACATTGGAACATTTTGCTTTCTAAGTTGTGTGGATAGTATTTCTAGCAGCATGGCTCTATGGATGTCGGTCTGACAGGCTGTCTGGCAGTCAGTCCACCACCACAGTCCACACTGAAATAATGAAAATAAAAAAGGATGAATCCTACTGAATTTGATGATGTCCTGACTTTCCCTCTAGCGCCACCATGAGGTTGACCTTTGTGGTTTTAAATGTTAAATGTCTTAACAACCATTGGATAAATTGCTGTGAAATTCGGTACTGACATTCACGTCCCCTTCAGGAGGAATTGTAATAAGTTTTGTGATCCCTTAACTTTTCATCCAGTGCCATATTCAGGTCAAAATTTGAATGTGCCCAACACATTGGTTTATGACCAAATACCCACACAACTAATGACATTCCCATCAGCCTCAGCTGTATGTGTGTGTTTAGTTCTAATTAGCAAACATAAGCATGGTATGTAAACATCAATACCTGCTAAACGTAGCATTGCCATTTAGCATGTTAGCATGCTGACATTTGCATTTAACTCAAAGCAGTGGTTTGACTGTACCGCCTCACAGAGCTGCTAGCATGGCTGTAAGCAAGTCTTAGCTGACACCACGTCCACTGAGTGTAGCTATACAATGCCTGCTTATTGTTGTCCTATTTTATTTTTTGGAGTATTTTACCAAGTTAGAATTTTGTACTAAATCTCAAGTAGTGTCAAATCTTTAGGGAATCGAGTGTTAAGTGCTCATTTTTGTGACTTAAGTCTGACTCAAGTCTGTTGGTCTTTGGTGAGAAAGTTGAGATCAGGGGTATGTGTCTGTGTATGAAGGCTCAAACTGGAGTCTGTAGCCATTTCGATCTTGGTATTGGTGTGTGTGTTGGTGTGTTTGGTGTCAGAGTGTATGCTGGCAGTGTTTGTACTTGGAGGGAGAGGCCAGGGAACCACTGATGATTGAACAAGTTCTCCCTCCTCATTGGTTGCTGCCTCCAGGCTGGGACTAGTTTTTGTGACATCATCTTTCTGTCTGTTCACTGGCTGTGCCCCACTACACTGGGGAGCGGGTTTGGCCTTAGTTGTCTGACTGATTCCTTCCTCTTGCTCAGACCCTGAAGGTGGTTTAGGATGAGGACGGACAGCCAGACTGGTTAAAGGGTGTTCGGGTTTATTTGGCTGACTAGCGGCTGAGCCCTGGTAAAATGTTTGTCCACTGGAAGGGAGTGAGGAGGGCGTCTGGGTAACAGCAAGAAATGGGAGGCCTGGGCTGAGGACAGAAAATTAGATTTCAGAGCTGAACCTAAAGGCTGAAGTGAAAAAACTGACGAGCAGCAGATCCAACCGCAATGTCCTTGTCATGCTCCATTCGCCTCTGGCAACAAAAGACCATTCATTTCAAGTAGCCAGAGCTCTGTCTTGTTAATCTCACAAAAGTCGGCAGAGATTCTAGTATAAGTTGTTTAGAAAAGACACGACTGGTTGTTGCCATACTTTAAACCAATTTAGTAGAGCATGGCGCTTGTTAAAGGACACTTATTTTTACTTGAAACAAAAACTCTCCCGACATGCTTTTATTAAATTCAGCTAATGTCAAGCTTTCCAAAAAAGTTGACATAGATTTTCCCTAGATTTCCACAAGTCTGATGGGACAGAGGTCTGGCTATGTGAGATTATACCAAACTTGACAGCATGTGACTCAACCACAGCGAAACACCAACTTTAAACAGGCTCCAGCCTCCACTGAACTGCAACATCCAAAGACCAAACCAATCCATTCATCCATGCTACTTGACATGCTACGTATGAGTACTGAACAAATGCAAGGAGTCTCTCAATTCTCCTTCATGTCAGTCAGGTAGACAGTGATGACTTCCTCCCCTTTTTCATGCTTGCTGCACATTTGCTCAGATCTTCCAAGACGAAGGAGTGAGATGTAAAGAGGAAATTCAAGTTTCCTTTACAAACAACACGGTAATGATGTTGTTTGAGGGCGAGATGAACGGTACATGACTCACAACCCTTTCATGAGAAAGACCTGCAGGAAAAGGCCAAACCCTCACTAAATGAAGGATGCTGTAATAATGCTTAGTAATTATCATTTCCCTGCAGATACAGTGAGTCAGTCAAGCCTCAGTTATTGAAGGAAGCATACACAAATACACACAGGCACAGTCCGCTGATCCACAAGAGGCAACAAGCAGAGCTCTCTCATATAGCCAGCTCTTTCCCAGTTACTCACCTCTCTCTCCCTGCTTCTATTTAACCCTTTTAACCCCCTTTACTCACCCTGCTTCCCCTTCCATGTACAGCTCAGCCAGCCAGATGGAGCCAAGATCTTCCTGTCCTCTTTCATACTCCACCTCCTCATCCTCCTCCTCTCTCAACCATACTGGAAGGGCACCAGATTTCAGGTTGGATTTTTTAACTGATCTCGGAATGGGATTATCCGGGACTTTCTTAATGGCGACTACAGAGTCTTCAGGTTTGACTGATCTGGAGTCGAGCTTGTTTGTTGGTCTGGCTGCAGGGACAGAATCAGCAGGACTGATCGAAATCAGTTTGGCTTCACTATTAGTGTCAATAGTTTTCACTTTTTCGGGATCAGACTTGTTTTCTGACAGGTCTTCATCAGCCTGTAGCCTCTCATCAAATGCAATGTCATCCAATTCTGCTTCCCTCAGAGGAGGCCAGTCATTTGATTGGTTGTTTGTGACTTCCTGTTTGTTTTGTAGGGATGCTGAAATGATATCTTGTTTCTGCTGTGGTTTCTCTCCTTTGCTATACTCTTCCCTTTGCCTCACCCTGTCCTCCTTCTCCTTTCTCTTCTTCTCCCTCTCCTCATTTGCTTTCTTTTCTTCCGCATCTGCCCTCTCTTTCTCTGCCTTTGCCCTCTCCTCCCTTTCCTTGTTCTCCAGCTCTTTTCTCTCTTTTTCCAACCTCTTTCTCTCCTCGTCCTTTTCCCTCTCCTTCTCCTCTCTCTCCTTTTCCAACCTCTGCCTCTCCTCCTTTTCTTTTTCCACCCTCTCTCTCTCCTCCCTCTCTGCCCTCTCTATTTCCTCCCTCTTCATGTTTTCTATCCTTTCTTTCTCCCTTCTCTCCCACTCCAGCTCTCTCTCCTTCTCTTGCTCACAAGCTGCCAGTCTCAGACTTGCCACCAGACTTAGCCCTTGTGAGGGCAAACATGGTTTCTGAACTATTTCTGTCCGGTTTTCTCTTGTGTCAGAGAAGTCTGTGGGTGGCGAAACGTCCACACCAATGGGAATGAGTGGATTGTCATCTGGCTCAGAGAAATACAGCATCTCTGCATCTACTTCATGTAAACACGGCTCATCTTCACTACTCATTGGTTCGTCTGCAGAGTGGGATGGATGAGCTGCATCAGTGGATCCAGTTGTCTGCAGGATGGAGGCCACTGTCTCATAGCTAAAGGGACAGACACGGGGGACAGGAAAACTCTGAGATGGGTCTCACCCTAAAATGACCTCAGCAGGCTCCAAACAGTGTGACAGAAAGCCAGACAGCATGCATGATTAAGTAGTTCCTTCTCAGACTTTGTTTTGGTGCTTGTCCAAAGCACACAGAGGAAGCATTCATTGTTGGTTGCACTGAGAACCACCCTTCACTTTTTTCCCCCAACGTAGTACACAACACAGCAAGCCCACTGGCATTTACATCACCTCTGGCTAACACTTTCTGGTGCCATGCAGGTGAGATCTCAGATCAGCTCATCAAGATGCACAGCTAGCTAATAAATATGGCACACTGACATTAGCAGCTCACTGAGTGGATTATAACCAATATTGATGGTAGATCAACCACTGGGATCAACAGCACGATGTATTATTGTGGTAAATGGTTACAGTTTTATCTACATGTATTAAACAACAAAGTGTTTCTGCACTGCACTGAAGGTTTTCCGCAACATTAAGCACTGTATGTGTAAATACAAATGTAGTTAGCAACCCACCTACAATAACTGCCATGGAAATAAAGTAATATTTCATCAAAATGTAATAAAATTCAAAATAAATTAATAAAATGTATGATGAGTCATTTGAATACTGTAAAAAACATACTGCTACAGTTCGTGGACATTATTAAATAATAATGGGTGTACAACTTTTTAGCAACTTTTTTATATAATTATAATTATATGCTAAGAATGTAATCATAATTTGAATTAATACATTTGATGAGTCTAAACTCTTTATTATTATATTACTTTTTTAATTATGTAATATGTTATCCCTCTTTTGGGGATATTTGATAAGTAATAATGCTTTGCTTTGTGGTTTTTTACTGTTTAGTGCAACATTTAGAGGAATATTTTATTGTATTTGACAAGATTTGTCAATTTCCTGACTGTATTTAAGCCTGGTCTATGGAAACGTTGCCTCACACCATGACAAATAGTTTTATGGACAGGCAGGCAGGGAGACTCACCCTCTGTACAACACCCCGACTACTGCTGACATGAAGCCAGCAGGCACCTCCATCTGCTGCGCTGCAACACACACATCTGCCTCTGCACATTTCTGGGCACTATCACACACACACAAACACACACACACACAGGCAGCCCCACAAACAAACACGCACACATTTTACTCTTTTGAAAAGCTCTCATTAAATCATTTCCATTTAAAGAACCAGTCTAACAGCATAGACAGAGGTTGAGATAAGGAGAACAGCAACAGATGAGGTTAACTGCAGCTGTTAAATAAGCACTGGTTAGACTGCAGCACCACAGAGGAACGTTAATCAGTACATGTGCAGGTGTGTATGACTGTATGTCTGTATGTGATGATCTGCGAGCAACGCCAGACATGTCATGCCATGCAGCACAGGAACCGTCACTGACTCACCCCCCTATTACACCACCCTCCTCCTGCTTCTCATCCTTCTCTTCAGTGCTCTCACTACTTTCCATCCCTCCTTCCGCTCCTGTCTCCGCTGTGGTCTCCTCCACAGTCGCCCACAGCTGCTTTTCTGCTTCACACACTGGGGCCTTATTGTTGACGAAACCCTCCTGACCACCAGCCACGGCCTCAGCTGGTTTCTCCTCATCTGCTCCCTCCTGTTGTGGTTTTCCTGATGGCTGGAGAACTTGTTCCGGCCGCAGTCTTAGTTCTGGTTTTGAGGGCAGCAGCGGCTCCAGAGCCAAAGCCACACGCTCGCCGACTGGTTTGGGGGAAACCTCGGGTGAGGGTGCTGGTTCCACGCTGGGTCCCTCTGGCTCTTTGGGCTTCTCTTTAACTGGTGGTGCGCTGGGTTGTGCAGGAGGTCGGACTATGGGATGTGTTTCTGAGTCTTTTGCTGTTATTGGCTGCTGCTCCTGCTTGACAGGGGTGTCCACCTCAGCGACACCTTCTCTGTCAGAGCTAGAAGAAAGGAAAAAACACATGATAGATACAGCCATTACAGTTTTACATGTGTTTTACATCATAAATAAGACGAAGCAAGAGACAGATGGTCAGAAAGAAAGATAAAGCAGAGAAGCAGACAGACAGACGTCCCCTCATCCATTCTTACCCTCTGCACAAAGATTTTGTACCCTCCTTGGCAGAGATTTTTTCAGTTGTCTCTTCCCCACTTCTCCCTTCTAGCACTTTCCATAGTGGAACCTCTGCATCAGACAGCCTCTCTGGAGGTGGCACCAGGGTCAACACCTCTAATGTAACAGTGGGGCCTGAGCGGATGCCAGGTGGAGTACATGCGGCACGTATTTGCTTTTCTGGGACAACAATGTTTGACAATGAACCTTCCTTTATGGGAGAGGGTTGCCCCAGACTGGAATAAGGGGAGAGAAAGAGGAAAACATAAAAAAAAGGAAGGGGGAAGAATTTGATACGTAATAAGTAATAAAACAAGGATCACTGATATCAACACCAATGTCAATGTTTTATTGTGTGATCTAATGCATTAATACACACACAATAGCAGCAGTGAAGCAAAAAGTGCAGCACTAAGAAGACATTTTATTGGTATCAATCTAGCTAATATTGATACTCAAAACAAGATTTAGTATTGATATTATCAATACTGTGGGATCAATCTGCCCACCCCTACCACATTGATAGTCAATTAGGTCTTATTTGAGCAGAGAGTCACAAAACAATCACCACACAAAAAGAGAAATAATCAAACAAGAAACATGGAACGATTCAGCCCAAGTTGATGCCGTTTTAGTGCAGAAACACAGTAACAAGTTTTTTAAAGCTGATAATGATTAATTGATTGATTTTATTTTCTGATTAAGGAAGCAGGTGGCAGCCACTTGAGGTATAAGAACAAAAAGAAACCAACACCCACAGAGAAACCTTTTTATATCTCAGTGGTGTAACTCACCGCTCACTGGAGTTTATGGAGGCGGAGCTCGGTTTATCAACTGACTGAAGGGTCGTCTCTCTGTCTTTTGATTGGCTGAGAATTTGTGAGGTAACACTGGTTTTGTCTGGAGGAGGGAGGTGGGGAGCGGGATCTTTAATAGCTAGGGTCAAGTGTGTGAAGCTGGGAGCAGGGACGTCGGTGTGTGTGTTTGAAGAAACCAGAGTTCTCATCTTCTGCTTGTCCTCGTCTGACTTGTTGGCCTCCAGACTGCAGACAGGAGCCGCTCGATCCTCCTTCCTCCTCTTGTCTTCCTCCTCCTCTTTCTTCTTTCTTCTTTCCATCTCTTCCTTCTCTTGCAGAAGATTCTTTTTCTGTTCCTCCTCTTTCTTCTTCCTGTCTTCTTCCTCCTTCATTCTCTTTTGTGCTTTCTCTTTCTCCTCTCTAAGTCTCTTCTCCTCCTCTTCTCTCTTTTTACTTTCATCTTCCCTTTTCTTCTTCTCTGCCTCCTGCCTTCTCTTCTCCTCTTGCAGTCGTCTCTCCTTTTCTTTCTGCTCCTTCAAGAGTATCTCTTTCCTCTTCTCCTCCTCTTCACGTCTTTTCTCCATCCTGTCGTTCTCCTCCTTTAAGAGTCTCTCCTTCTCTTTTGCCTCCCTTAATCTTGCCTCCTCCCTCTCCTTCTCCTCTTTTAGTACTCTCTCTTTTTCTTCCCTCTTTCTTCTCTCCTCTGCTTCTTTGACTCTCTTCTCCTCCCCATCCCTCCTCTTTCTCTCCTCTTCTGATTCTTTTTTCTTTCTCTCTTCCTCTTTCCTCCTTTCTTCCTCCTCCCTGTTCTTCCTCTCCTTCTCTGCCTCTTCTTTCTTTCTCTCTTCCTCCTCCTGTAGATGTTTTTTCTCCTCCTCCTCCCTCTTTCTTCTCTTTGCCTCCTCTTTCAATTTCTGTTGCTCCTTCTCTCTTTCCTCCTTCAAGCATTTCTCCTCCATCATCCTCCTCTCTTCTTCTTCCCGGAGCTTCTTTTTCTCTTCCTCCCTCCTCCTTTTTTGCTCCTCAAACACTTTCCTCTCCTCCCTCTTTTTATCCTCCTCCTCTTTCATATTCCTCAAGAAATTCTCTCTCTCAAGTCTCTTCTCCTCCTCCCTCCTAAGGTTTTCCTTTCCCACCTCCACTTCCAGGAGTCTCCTCTGCTGCTCTCTTTTTCTCCTCTCCTCCTCGTCCAGCTTCCTCTTCTCCTCCTCCTCCTCCTTCAGCTTCTCCTGTTTCTCTCTCCTCTCCTGCAGGAGTCTCTCCTCCTCACGTTTCCTCCTCTCCTTCTCCTTCTTGACTTCCTCCTCCTCCTGTAAGAATCTCTTCTTCTCCTCCTCTAACAATCTCTTCTTCTCTTCTTCATGTTTTCTCCTCTCCTCCTGCTTCATAAGCACGACTTTTTGCTCTTCCTCCTTCCTCCTCTTTTCGTCATCTTGTTTTTTAAGAATTTCTTTCTCCCTCTGCTTCTCCTGCTCTGCCCTCATCTTTACCTCCTTCTCCATCGCTGCTCCCTCTAACTGCTTTTCTCCAGAGGCCTTTTCATTGGTTTTCTGTTCAAGACTGCAGAACAGATAAACAATATTCCTTAAACCTGAATCTGTGTGTGAGTTTTACCATTATCAGCATCATAAGTTCACATTTTCAGTTCAAACCTTATTTCTTTATGTTCTCTTGATTTTATCTGTGAATATAAATACTCACCCTGGAGGACACCTTTTGATAGTATCCCTCTTAGAGTCATCCTCTTCCAGAAACAAACCCCCTGATCCTTGTCTCTGGTTAAATGACTCAAAGATGATGTCGTCAAAGTCGGGCTCGGGCTCAGGCTGTGCCAGTGGTGGCTTTTCAGCCTTAAAGGCGCTAATAATACCCCGTGCCTCATGGGTTGGTTTTTTCACCTCGTTACCCCCCCGAACATTTGGCTTCTTAGGAGTGATAAATGCCGCCACAAAAGTAGTGGTGGGCTGCTGAGGGGTGGAGATCTCGCAGCACGAGAAGGGCCATGGAGGGGGCGGGGCTATTATCAGCTCTGAACTTGACTGGGCAGGACTGGGGACAGAAATATTGGAGGTCAGCCTCACGTGACGAGTGGGTGAGTTTTCACAGCGTGCAGGGGTGATTAGGGGGGAAACAGGCAGGCCAGAGCTCAGACTACATAATGATAATCATTGTGTACTAGAACTAGGGATGGGAATCAGGAACCGGTTCCAGATGAAAACCGGTTCCAGATTGTCTGATCCATCAAAACCGTATGCCTCCGAGCTTATAAATTCCTTTTATCAATGCTCGTCATTTTTTGCACACATTGCAAAACAATGACATCGAGCTCATGTGTCTACGCAGCAGGAAACTTGCATCAAGAAGAAATCACGGCGAAGAGGAAGAAAGAGTCCAAAATATGGCTTCATTTCACAAAGAAAGATGAGAACAGTGCAGTTATAATGTCTGTAAAAGCATAATTTCAAGTAAGAGTGGAAACACCAGCGATATGTTGAAACATCTTTCCACGAAACATGGGCTTTACTTCCAAGAATGCCATGTATTTTACACACAAGTGCCACTGCTTCCTAAGCGGCATGTCTGTTCCCAAGGGGAAATATCCTATGTTATAATAACATGAGCGCCATTCAGGCAGGCTTAGCAGCTTTTGTCTTAAAACCTAAATGAAAATGACTGTTTTAAACTAAACAGCTGTGAAAAACAGGAGCTTTTGCACACCAGAATCACATGCAGGCCTACTCTGTTTCTATACTGGGTTCAGACTCAGAGATAATAACACAGATGTGCGAAAACATGTGTGTAGGCCTACTTTTTAGACAATTTATCACAAATTAATAAGGGAATTGATAAAGAATCAAACCGATAAGCAGAACAAATAATGGCTTTGATATCAATTCCCATCCCTAACTGCAAGGTCAGTGCAACAGGAAGAAGGGTACAAAACACTCAGCAACTGTTAGCACGTTAGCATCAAGAAAGCACAAACACCAGAAACAAAGCAGCGTGAGGCCTTGAGCAACAGTGGATCTATAAGGCTCTCAACCCTTGATCAACAAACAGATAAACTGTTACTCAACCGCACACGTGTCAGCAAGCTGAAGTGGGTTTGCCTCAGTCAGCACTAAAGTGGGTTAGCTTGGAATCATTTGGGCCATGATGAATTTGATATTGTGCTGATCAATATGAAGAAATCCAAATTGTTGCATTCTTGTTGTGAAAAATATAGATATATAAAAAGAAAAGAAAAAAAGGCACAATCTGTGATGCGCTGTCTTCAAACATGTCAGAGTGCAACTGACATTTTGGGAAACACGCTTATTTACATTTTTTGCAGAGACTAAGATGAGAAGATCGATACCACCACTTATATTTGTCCGTTATATAGGACGCTACCACCAGCAGGATGGTTAACTTAGCTTAGCATAAAGACTGGAAACAGAGGGACACAGCTAGCCTAACTCTGTGTAAAGGTTACAGAATCCACCAACCAACACCTCTAAAGCTCAGTATATATACACTTATATCTTATTTGTTTGGGGACGTATGTGTGAGATGATTTCTTGGCATAGTGCAGTGAAGTTTTTGTACAGATTAAACAAACAAGATAGGATGTGTTCATTAATGCATTTTAGAGGTGCCAACAGGTGGATTTTGTTAGCTTTGGACAGAACCTGGTTTGCTGTTTCCTGTCTTTATGCGAAGCTAAGCTAACCATCTCCTGGTTGCATCTTCATATTAAACAAATCTGAGCTTCCTGGTTTTTTAATAGCTCCTCATCTTTTCTGACCCATATTCTGATTTATTTTTAAACAAGTTTTGTCATCTATGATCTATGATCCCTTTGCAAGGGCTGCACCCAGTCTTCAAGTCGCTTCTTGCTCTGTGGTCTGACTTTTTATTTTATCTTGACACAACCAAACATACCTTCAAAGGATCCAAACCAAGCAATCTAAATTTAAACACTCATGTAATATCAACCCATGACCTCACCTGATCCTTGCTGGTTCAGCTTTGTTTTCTGTGATGGCTGCCTTTGAATCCTGGGCTGCTGTGATTGCCTGGTTAGATATTCTGATGTTGGCCATTGTCTGGTTATGTTGAGGAGATCCCTCGCCTCGGCTTACAGGGCTTGGAGTTGTTTCCTTGCCCACTTGAGTGAAGGGGAACGTTGAGCCTATAAAGAACAAAAGCAAGGTCAGACAATTCATTTTACAGGATGAGTGATCTTTGCAAGAAAGGAAAGAAAGTGTGGTTGTTTCAGACATTTCCACATGTCTGAGAGCATGAGGTAATGGTCTTGGCTGAATCAAACACTGACAGGAGAATGTTTGATTAGTTGGCTGGTGTACCTGACTGACAGGAGCTGATCTGAGCAGGAGGAGCAGAAGGAGAGACAACAAGCTGAGGTTGAGGAGAGGAGAATAAAACAGAGGTGGACAGAGAAGAGGAGCGAGTGGGTGAAGAGTGTGGAAAGGAGGCAGCAAGGGCCGGAGCCATGGGGTCGCAGAGAGCATCAAGGTCAGGACTAGTCAGCAGAGGGACAGGGGTGATGTCAGCACCAGATGCCAGCCACGCCCCTTGAGCACCTGAGGAAAGTAGAGAGGAAGGAAAGGAATGGGGAGGTGGAGAGGGAAATAAAAGAGCTCAGATGAAGCAGATTTATAGGAATGATGGTGGGAGAAGACAGAGGAGAGAGAAGAGATGCTAGGAAATGAGTTATCAAACTGTACTTTTGTCATTAGTTACCTGACTCTGAGATAGAGGGATGAGATTTGGGAAGAGGAGGTGTTGACGTAAGAGGGGGGACGTCAGCGGAAAAAGGAGAGGGAGAGGAGGGACGGGCGATTGACTTGACAATCTGAGGTCTGAAAATGTGAGAACGGCCTATAGAGAGGACAGAAGATGAAATACATTATAACCAAACAGAAGGAAGGAGAAAAGACAACATAGGAAAGGGAGATTTTAAAAGATTTTAAAATTGGTATCTCAAAGTAGAGACAAACCAGAGGTTGAAGTAAGATCATCTTCAGTTTGAACCTCTGGGGGGCGCCGTTGATGTGAAACAGGGACTGAGGGTGGTGGAAAGAAATGTGACGAACAAAAGAGGAATAAAGAGAAACCGATATAAACAGTGAAAGGGGAAACAGCATCATTTTATAGCATGGATTTAACTAAATGTGTTACACCGCAGAAATGATCAATATCTGTCAGGAACAAACATGTTTGCTGCAATCTCATCAGTGACAAGCAACTTGCAGCTCCTGAGTTTGGCTCTATTTGGTAAAGTGCTGTCCAACAATGGTGGTGTTAAAGTAATCAAAGTGCTGTTACTACAATATTATTAAAAAGGCTGAATTCAATACTTCATTTTCTTAATGTTCAGTACTTGTTTTGTAATTCACTCCCATTTCCTTATGTGTATATAGAATGAATAGTCTGTAGAAGAAGAGCCAGTTAAACACATACTTATGGAATAAACGGGTTATCTCATTTTATAACCATTCTAAATACATACAGTAGTTTTTACATATATTTTGAATAGTGAATTGTGGGTTGATTAAGCTACAGCTATGGCACTTCAAGCATTGTTAGAATGCAAGCACATATATGATGTTTTTATATACAACAGGTGGTACTGTGGCGAGACAATTTTAGTGCTCATTTGTCATTTAGGAAGACGTTTAGGAATAACGTGGCACTAAGATGTAGGGAAGTCTGTAAGTGTGGATCAAAACAAGCTTTTGACTGTGTTATACTGAGTAACAACATGTGATAGTGTGTTATATCACATAACATTGTTTTATCAAGAATTGAACACAAGTTGGTTATTGACCGATCTAACTTTTGGATACCTCCATAATGGTGTGATCTAAAATCTTCAACCTTCCCTGCCTCCTGGACTTGTGAGTACACTGGTTTAATTCACTAGAAAATTGTTGTTGTTGCCTGAGGTATTATAACACTGACCAAACATTTAACTCTATTCTGACAACCTGATGATGCATAGATCTTCCTCACAGCCAGCCATACTGTATATAGTAGTACTGTACATACTGTGTTTGAGTAATATTAAGCTAAATCATGCGGAAAATGATGTCAGACCAGAACATCGCACATAAGGAATCAGTTAGTCGAAAGCATGCAGCGTGCCTGTGTGCCAGCCAGCCTGTCGATACCTTTTCCTGAGCCTGACTGGAAGATTCTGGGAAGAGACGGAGGCTGAGAGAGGGTCCGGGTGAGTGGAGGGTGAGTGGATGGGGGCTCAGAGGACAGAGTGGCCTTTGGGGGAGAGGCTGACTTGGATGGGAGATGCTGGGAGGTGATGGTTTTATGGGTCAGAGTAGTGGATACAGTGAGAGAAGACTTTTGGGGAGCCGTGGAGGATGATGTTATGATATTTATGGGTGAAGACACAGCAGGGGAGGGAAGTTTGGTAGTTAATGAGGTACTTTCGGGGGGCTTTAAGGACAGTTTTGAGGCAGTATTTGAGGAGGAATTCAGGGGGCCAGAGGGCGTTGTTAAAGACGGATCCACTGAAATAGACACAGATTCAGAGAATTTGGGAGCTGGAGAATGGAGGGAAGAGGAAGTGTTTTGGGTAGAAGGTGGATTCTGGGAGGATTTGGGGGACGGAGGATTTGCAGGAGACACATCGGAGACAGGCAGGATGGAGGAAGCACTCTGAAACAGGGGAGTAGGTGCCGTGACCTGGGAGCTCGGAGGATTAGGTAGTGCGTCGGAAGAAGCAAGAGCCTCCTCTAGAAAAGGGTTGTTTGATTTTTTATGTTTGGATCTGGGTGAGGGCTGAGGGGAGGGGCCGGGGGAAGGTTGGATCTCTGACTGGACAGGGGTGGTGGCAAAGGGGTGTCGGCAGCGCCGGGGCGAGGGGCGAGGAGCGATGGGAAGAGGGGGGCGGGAGTGGACGGCAGGTCCGCCATCACGTTCACAGGCTGGATGAATACATGGATGATTGGATGGATCAGTGAAAGTAGATTTTGGCAGGAAGAGAAATTATGAAAGAGACAGAAGAAAAATGTCATGAAATGAGAATGAAAATGAAATGATGCTCAAAATTAGATTACTACTGGGATCCCATGTCGCAAAACTGCGTCATGAGGATCCTTTGTTAATCACATGAGTCGCTTCTTTGATCAACACTACAAACAAAATATGAAACTTTGATGCAATTATAGCCCATTTAATGTCGTCTGCTCTACATTCCTCCTGATTATTTTACTCTATGTGCAGACATTTGAAAGTGATGTGCACCTCAAACTACAACTGGAGACCTCAATTGGCTGAATTTAAAATGTAACATGCTGTTGTATGTAAAAAAGTCAGATGTTTTAAATTTTAAATGACAGTTAATGGTTTGACCTGCAGTCTGTAATCCAGTACAGTATTTGAGTAGATGTACTTAGTTACATTCCACCACTGGGGACAAGTAGTCCGATGTCATGGTGGAGTTACGGTGATTTGAGCTGCTGTTAGACTTGTTTTTATGTTGGTACAGTAATGTCTGGACACAACAACACTTTTCATGTCTAGATGAGAAATATGTGGTATGCAGAACACATGGAATGAGTGTGTGAAATGCTGTTATATAAACTGAGCCTCCCAATAACAAACAAGGACAGAGGGAGTGCCTGGTTACACCTCCTTCTCTCTGGCAAGAGAAACAAACAGGAAGAAAGGGCAGGAGCAAGCTACCTGAGGCTGGAAGAGTGGGTCCGGTGGAGTTTCGCTTGTCGGGGGGAGGGGGAGCAGGGCGATTTGGGCGAATTAGAGTATGTGGAACTACTGCAGCAGCCAGAAAAGACAAAAGAGTAAAGCAGAAGAGGTGACAAGGAATAAGAGAGGAAAAGGGAGGAAGAGGAGGAAGAAATGTCAAAGGAAATATTTCAGGATCAGAGGGAAGAGGCAGTGTTTGTGTAAGCCTGACCTACCTGTAGCAGTGACAGATTTCTTGTCCTCCTCTTCATCGCTCTCATTAAAGTCGTCCAAGTTGCCGATATCTGTGGGTTTGACGCTCATCAGGCTGGCCAAACTCTGCATGTCTTCATCCCTGAGGACCGTGAGAACAAACATTTATCCCACCATCAGAGCTCTCATGACATCTCTAGAAACAGAAAACACTCCTCATGATGAAAAATATGCTCAGTAAATCAAATATGGCTGAGGCTTCATTTATTAACCTCCAACATTAACAGAAGAAACGAAGAAAAGATTTTTAAGAATGATTGACATTGTAAGACAGCTCCCAAAATAATAAAACATAATAAAAACTTGTTAGACCTTTAAATACACTTGATAATAGTATTATAGGTAATAGGTAAATAAGGAGAAGCAGAAGAAAAAATAACTCACGTGGCTTTCCCCTCACGAACAAAGACACACGACAGCGACAGCTTGAGTGTGGCCTCCACCACTTTGACGGACAGTGGCTTCAGCTTCAGCGTCAGGTCAGTCTGGGTCGGCGTCGGACTGGCAAACCGCTTCAGGTTGATGTCTGCTGATGCCAGCACCTTACGATGCCCCTTGTTCTCCTGTACATGACCAACAAAAAAAACAACCATATATGTAGCTATAGTATTTTGAATCCTGAGGAGTTAGTTAGATAATCTATTTAAGTAGAAGTGGCAATAACACACAATAAAAATCCAAGTATCAAATGTAAAAGTACTCATAATGCAGAAAAGGCCCATAGCAATAAACATAGTGGAGAAAAATATACAGTGTTTCCTTTGAAATAAAGTGTAGTAGAAGTATAAAGTAGGAATAAATAAAAAAGGCCAGCATTAGACCAAATAATTGAGAAAATCATTCAGTTTGGTTAATTTAAGAAACAGATGTTTAGCCAAGTAGTCAGGAAATACTTACACCCTCAATAACAAAGGTCCACTCTTTGTCCTCAAACTCATCAGCATTGACCTCCTGAAGAAATGAAAACAAACAATAAACATCGTCTGTGCCCATTATCCATGCATGTACCTATCTAACTGTTTACACATACCTGTACATAAGTGTGTGTACATATATATGTATATATATATATATATATATATAGTTAATCCCAATACAATCCCCTATGCAAATCAAGAGAACACATTTACACTAAACATGTGCAGAATATTAGCAGGCTCTAGTTTTTTCATTTGAATTCAGTCATGTTCTTAGTTATTTGTTTGTATTATTCTATCTTCTTATTTATGGACTATATGCAGTTTTTTGTTTGTTTTGTGATTTCCTGTGGGACATGGCTGCTGTAACGCTGTCATTTGGGATTAATGAAGTACTCTGAATTCTACTGGAGGGATGAACAACACTATTCTTCCAGTGAGCCCTCGTGTCCTGTATGGAAACATCTGCATTTGTCATATTTCCCAAGTCAGTAAGTTTTTCCTTTAATTTGCCACCTGTCTGTACGTGTTTGTAAGGAGTGTGTTCTGGTTTTGGTACCTTGAAGAGTGTAACAGAGATGTCGATGTTCTCTGGGACAGGCCACACTACCATGCCCCTGTAGGGGTTCTTGATTCCAGGCTGCCAACTGTGGAGCTGCACAACAAACAACATAGTGAGACTGTGTGTGTGTGTATATGTGTGTGTTTACTTCTGTGTGTGTGCTTCAGTGGTTTTACCTTTGAGCACATGCGCCTGTTCCTCCTGGTCCACACCACCCTTAGCTTGTCTGGTTGCCTACATTAAACATAAAAACATAGGTCACCAGAGATTGTGCCACATGGACAATAAATGCTCGGACTGCATTAAATAATGTCTCCACACAAAGTGGGAGCGTTTGTGTGGAGAGAACATGAGGTCTTATGACTGTCACTGCTGAATAATATTGCCTTGGGGTCAAAGGCAAGGGACGGATGTGAGTGTGTGTTTATGTGTGATTGTTTCTGCAGAGGGCTGTGAACACATGGTATTAATGTTCGTCTATTAACATGCATTGGTAAAGCTGTGAAGGTGTGTACACTGTGTGTGTGTGTGTGTGTGTGTATTCATGCAGCTGTAATTAGGTTTCACAACATATAATAGTGTGTTGGTAATGTGTATACACGTTCCTATTGTATTTTCTCAGCCCTCTGCAGAACAGGAAGTAAAACTGGAAGCTGCAGGGTCATGTGAAGTGAATCTATGTGAATGTCAGGCGTGCCTCTTGACAGGAAGAAGGAACCCCCTTCACAAGAGAAGACACACAAACACACAAATAATATACCAGTACGTAATAATACTTCATAGTGCTCACAGTCAACTCAAAATATGTTACAACCATTTTAACACCTGCAGATGTTCTTTAGAATATTGATACCAATAGTTTATACTGAATATTGTCTCAAGTTTCAGTGTATCAATGTTCAAGTATAGCAAAGAGGGCTGTGTGTGTACATGTGTTCATGTGGTATGTGTGTTAGGGGGTCAGAAGTGGCATCAGAAATAGCCCGACGGGGGAGAGAGGAAGAACAGAACAGCAAAAAGAAGGAGACAAAGAAAGGATGATCTGCAACACAAGGACACAAATCATATTCTGTACCAGCTCAGGAACAATAAGCAGCAGCACAGGGCTATATTTACACAGGCAGACATTAGGGTGTAATACAGTTTAGTAACGTGTAATTATAGGCCTACACTGTGGTTGCTATCTTGTTATTTAGCAGACAATGGCTATATTCCACAGCTGACTAGATGAGTGATTAACATCACCCCCACCCATGTTTGAAAAAGAAGTACAAGCGTTTAATGTTTGTGATATTACTGTAAAGCACATACATTTACACATTGACAGACGGTAAACCGCACTAAACCTATCTCATGATTTCATCACACAAAGCATTCCTAGTGTTACTGTAAAAAGAGTCTCTGTAAACATCACTTTATCATTTTCTGACTACTGTCATGTACAAACTGCTAGGGCTTCTTATCTTTGCCCTTTCTGTATTTTACTGTGTTTCTTTATCCAATAGAGCTTGTGATGGAGGAGATCTTATTCTTCCATTCATGCTATCACGTATATGCAGCCAAGTAGACATCCTGTCTTTAATAACACCTTTTTTTTGGCTGGCTGGGGGCAGATGAATCAACATTAACATTCATTTGGAGTTGTGTTTATGGCCACCTGGTGTATTATAAGTCCAATATTCAGTCTCCTTTTGCTCTGTTTATGGTCTTTACCAACTCCTGAGGGAGATTTCTGCTAAATGCTCTAATATGTTCACCGGCTAGTCTCTAACTGTGTCCGTCTGCTGTTTGTTGCTGAGCTGGTAGTGTACAGTGGGGTTTTAGAGTTTTTTGTCTGAAAAGTTGCTGGTTGGACAGTTGAAAGTCACTATAAAGGTCTGTAAAGTCGAGGGGAGAACTATCTTGTCTGTTCCATTGTCATTAGATAAATTGTTATTGTAAAAACTTTCAGTTTTAGCTGCTTTAAATATGTAGTTAATACAATAGGAATACATTGTTATAGTTACACTTAGAGTTGCAGTTACAAATCATCTCTTACAAAGTCTAAATATGCATCTCAGTAACAAGTCTGTGTGGGTGAAAAAAGCCAGTGGTCTCAAATCATAGCACTAAATTAGAACAAACCCCCAAACAAACACACACACACACACACACACACACACACACACACACACACACACAACTTGTACACAAACATGTGACTTGTGAGACATTTTCAAAACCCCCCACGTGGCAAAGGGTTCATTTCCCACATCTGATGTTTGATGTGATCTTGAAGTGTCAGTAACCTCTGACACCAAATACAGAGTTTAATCACACATGAGGCTGTTTCCCTTTTAAAAGCATGCCAAAGCAATATGACTGAAACTTTGGATTAACCTCCAGTCTTTCCTCACTTCCTCCTATTCTCTCTCCTTCTCCTCTCCTGACTTTTGCCTCCCTGTTTGAACAGCACACTGGTAAAGGCTTATACACGCTGATTTGATCACATTGTATGTGGGAGTTGTCACTCTTTCTGAATTACTCTGTGTCCCTTCACTTCATGTGTCCGGACAACAAAAGCTCTCTGCTGCTGATCAAACTCTGAAACTTTATTGACGAGAGCTTTCAGTCACAAAAGAAAAATACAACAACTAATCTACCAGGGAGTTTCTTATCATGCTGACAAGCCGCTTACACAATTATTCCATACTTCAATGTAATCTGGACAGATAAGACGGTGCAATGTGAGCTAAACTGACACGTGGGCAGAAGTTACCAGAGAAGCTCCTTTGTGATATTTCAGACGATGCTACAATTTATGTTTTCAAGACTTCCAAGATTTAAAATGATTTATTGTTTCTGTTCAGTGTTGTGGCACAGCTGAGTAATGGCCTACGCTGCATCACCTGGCCACCTCCCAAATGTTTTGTAAAACAGGAAATTGCACAAGAGGGGAAAGCCCTACAGAGCTTGAGCACTATAAAGTGATTTGGTTGCATCTTTGAAAAGTAAAAGTGAGACAAGAGAATGTTGTAGATTATTATATGAGTATTATGTTGACTGTAAAACCAAATCTTGTTTAAAAATGTACCTCGGGCACTTGGTCTTCTTGCATTTGTGTTCATTTTCAAATTAAATAGGGAATGACAATGATAACAAAACACAAGCGAGACACTAACAGTAAAGACTACTCAGCCTCATATTGTCTGTTTGTTTAGAGATAACGTCTCCGCACAACTGTTCATTTTAATATCAATGATTTAAACACGCTGCTGTGGTAAAGCAATGATCTGATAACTGATGGACCCACACACAAACACACACACACACACACACACACACACCTTACTGACAGTGGTAGAAAGTAACTAAGTAGGTTACTTTTATTCAAGTATTGTATTTAAGTACTATTTTGAGGTACTTGAGTATTTCCATTTTCTGCTTACTTTATTCTTCTACTCCACTATATTTATTTTAAACCTCTAGTTGCTTTGCTGATTTACATTATTAATACAAACTATAATCAAAAAATACAATTTGATGTATCATTATTATTGGTATAAGACTATATTGATCCCTTGGTGAAACTCACAGGCGTCATAATATATTGTAATTTTAAAAAAGCCCCACCTTTACCAGCTGCAACCTTAGTGTAATGTACATTAATGAATCAATATTGATAGCCCTCGAATGTATGACATTTAGATACTTGTAACAAAGTATTTCTACCCTGTAATGATCTGAGCATTTGTTTCCCGACGTCGGGAATCGAACCCGCGACCACTCAGGAACAGTTCAGCACATGTGCATAAGTGAGAGACGCCCTCATCCTTCTCGGTGTAGCGGAAAGACTCACAACACGAGAATGACCATGGTCGTGGACTTTTATTATAGCTAATAATAAAGAGGCCCTCGGTTGCTTATTTACATCTCAAACAGTGAAAAAAAAAAAAACTTAAAGACGGGACTCTTAAAGAAATACTGTCTCCAGTAACTCACCATTTCTTCGTACACTCCAAAGTCAGTTCCTGGTAAGAGGCGACGAACTGAAACTTTGAAGCCTTTTTACCAACTCGCTGCAGTCTTTTCCAAACCGAAGTCATAACTTCCTCTTGTAACAAAAACTTCAACACTCAAAAGAAGAAAAAAAAAACACTTCTCCAGCAGTCCAACTCTACCCGCTCCTTCAAAAAGTTCCTTAAAAGGTCTTCTTCTGCTTCTTCTTCTCTTGCTGCTGCTGCTGCTGATGATGATGATGAACTTCACACAAGCTGCGACTCGCGCTCATTGGCAATAAGTCGAATCACGCAGAGAAATAAATAAACAGTAATGTCGCCATGTAGCCTATACCGACACAAGACAGAGCTGTAGGCTGTGATACAGAACTGGCAGGCATCAAAGAGGAACCGATTCCGCCCTCCTCGCTGTCATTCAAGCTGTCCAGAAGCGCCTGATATGAAGCTAAAGTTTCCAAACCAAACAACTGCAGGAGCTCTCATTGACTTCTCTCTCTCTTATTGGCATTGATCCACATGGAGACAGCAACCGCTTAGTCAAGCCTTGTTGTAGCGCAGGTCTGCTGCCTCGAGAATGAGTTCACCCTCCCCTCCTCCTCCTCCTCCTCCTCTTCCCCTCCTTTCGGTGACAGCAGGCAGCAACAGAGAGACAGGCAGAGAGTGAGACAGGATATGCAAAAAGGTGTCTGCTGGTGATGCAGCAGTATGCAAAAGGTCTTTATCTTCTGCGGCTTACAGGCGAGTGTGTGGAGGCACTGAGGTAACAGTCGTACCTGTAGACTTTGATCCTGACTGTCTGTGTCACTGGAACAGGCTTATCTGACAATTACGGTTTCACTTAATCAGCTCTGCAAACTCCTGCAGGCTACAATATAGTGTCACTGCAAGTCTCACTGCTGCTGTGGAATATATGAAACCCTGTTTGTTTTTTTAATTTGAGCTCATAGTTATAACTTAAGTCACTTCCTCAGTTTCAGTTGTGTCATCCAGAGCTCTCCAGAAAAAGTTTGTGTCAACTACAGAGGAATAGTTTCCATGGAGAGGGCCAGTTAGTGTGTGTGTGTGTGTGTGTTCAAGCTAGGTCAAGGCACAGGGATTTTCCTCAGTGAGAGCAGGAGTGTATTTTTAGGTGGGGGAAGAGGGATGGATGGATGGACGGAGGCAGCTGGGGTGGAGGAGTTGTAGGGCAGCAGCAACTCTCTCATGACTCAGAGTTGGTCTTATATTACACCATGGGTCCAATATTCAGAGGAGCATTATTGCTCTCAGTACTTACAGCTATGCCTTCCTTTTTTTAAACACACTTCCCTGTAAACACTGTACAGGTACTTTACGCCAACACACGCCTTTGTATTGTGAGATTTAAAGTGCCAACAGCCTCATTTGGTGGAATAGCATTCTTACATTTGTTTCTTTTTTTTCAAACGTCCTCGTTTCCTCTTTTGGAGGACCAATCTCAGTGCTGTTCCCCCTGGTGCACCCTACAAAAATGCCCCTATGGTACATAAAACATAATAAAATACCCTCTAGTGCGCCCTCCAGTGAAGAAAAGGTGACACAGTGCTTTAAAGCGTGTACTGAAAATGTAGAAGTTCTATTAATATTATACTAATCTAAGTCACATAACTATAAATTGTTTTGTCCACCACGGTTATACCATATTTTATACATTAAATCTAACACCGACCTTTGTATTGTAACATAAACGTGTTAACAGTGTCCTTCCTTGTGTTGTTTCTTGCCTTTTTTCCCCACTTGGGGGTATTTCCTCACTTGAAGGGACTGATGTCATTGTGTTGCAGCTCCCTCCACAAACACCTTATTGTCCTTCCCGGCTCTCCCGGCTCTCCCCGCTGACACCCACAGCTCTGACCTCCAGTCTGATGTCTATTTATTTTATTAATCACTCAGTGTAACACACCAACAATACTTACAGTAACCGTGTGGTGTGATAATAACAAAATCAACCAATAGATGCACAAAAAACAAAGAGAGTCGAGAGAAACAGGCGAGAAATATAAGTGTCAGAAATTCCACATTTACATTTAGCTGATAATCTTCATCGTGATGAAGAGATGGAGAACACACATGCAGTGAAACTGTCACTTAGACTGCCAGAGAGACAGACAGGCAGATAGATTCTAACAATAACCACAACATATGTTGATTATAAATAGACAACAGCATGAGACTTTCTACTCAAACGTCACTCCCCTTCATTCCTGCTCTCTTCACAGCAAATGGTTTTCCTCACTCTGCCGCTTTCAACGTGACCTCAGAGGAGGAGGAGGAGGCCTGCAGGAGTGAAGGAGCTCTGGCTTGACTGGAGACAGTGTGTCCCCTGTTGGTCATCATTTGCAATATCATCTTCTTGATTATCTTTAATTCAAATACAGAATTACTGTATATGTCTGTGGTATACACTGTAGTTATATTTCAAGATTTAGATACAAGGAAGTCATTTACTGGCTTTTACAAACCAGTTGCCTTCGTAGAAAACTAATTCAGGTCTGATAAATGAGTCAATCCAAGACTATTTAAAGGTTAAATAGTGGCACAGTCTGCCCAGTGGAAATGGTTAAAATCTAACTGGGCAGACTGTGCCACTTCTTAAAACACAGTTTTACAGCCCTATGCTTTATACATGTCTAAATGTTAATTAAATGATAATAAAAACAGTGATTCAAAGTTAGAAAATCCACTGTGACAAAAAGGTTAAATTGATCAATATTGCATTAAGCAGTTGCTGTCTTTTTTTAACACTATCTATGGATACAAATTTCAGTTAATAACCGGGTTATATTTTTAGCTTGTTTTCCCGACATAAACAGATCATTTATTATAATTTTTTTATTGGACTGGTGAAATTTCAAGATGATACATTATGTATTTGAATATATGTAACTTTATTGAAACATAAGTGCCTTGTTAAGATAAAAAAACTCTTTTACAGGAGTGTCCTGGCTACCATAAAACCAAGAGGTTACAAACATTTATTTTTATACATTTCATAGATTAAATATGACTGAAAATCAAGATTTTACGGTACTGTCCATTCATTGTTTGTAATTCAACAGGAGATTTCAGGTTATAAAAGTTGAGAGAATGACAAGCTAAAGATCATTTTCATACCTTCTCATAAATGTAAGTCAGAGTTAAAGCAATTACAGATTATTGATTGACAGCTCTTCTGTTCTTCAGTCAAGACACTAAATGGTCGAGAACACGGTGTGATACCAATTGATTATTTCACTCAATTCACAAAGCGGAGTCTGAAGAGTCTGGAATTATCAGTACAACCACAAAGTTGCAGAAGATATGTCCTGATAGATGTCACAACAGTTCTTAGAAAATCTTCCACCCACCTCAACTTCACTGCAAGGCAAACAGCATGTAGTAGCACGTAGATTATGCAATAAAGAGCAAAACACTGATAACAACTGATCTCACTTCTGTTTTTTTCTTTTTCTTCTTCTAGTTGGCTTCATTTCTGCTGCAACATACAACAGATGGCAAATTTAACAGCCAGGTAGTGCAAGTTTGGATGCTAATACACGCTGTATCATCTATCTGAGACGGTTTCTTTACGTTAGACACAAATCCTGACATGTAGTGTGTGTGTGGAGAAAACAACTAAATGTAAAAAGTAGATGTATCTCTATGAATCCAGACTTTTAGACAACTGTCGGGTCCCCTTGTAGGCCACTTCATGCACCTTAAATGTATCAGATTGCTATACATGTGCACTAAATCAAACTTGCAGGTGTAAATGGGCACGTCTGCAAAGGCCACACGTATGTCACAGCTCGGATTATAAGCTTCTCCCAAAACACTTTCAACCACACCAGTGGGACGTCAAGTAAGTATTGCTTAACAGTTGGGTATAAAACAGTAAGAGAGTGTGTCTGTGTCTCCGTCAGGGAATATGAAAGGAATCTTTGATCCACTGGTCCCTGGAGTTGCTGCTGGGTGGGTGCAGAGACACGGACGAGGACGAAGAAGACGGCTGTGAGAGAACTCCTGTCTCCTCCTCCTCATCTTCTTCCTCCTCCTCCTCCTCTTCCTCTTCATCTTCAGAGTATCCATTATCAGCACTGAACGAGGCGTCAGACAGAAGCGAGGAGCCCTTGTACTCCTGGATGGCCTCGCGGAGAGACCACAGCTGACACAGCAGAGACATGTCGAGCTGACGCAGACCGACCTGGTGCACACAAACACAAAACATCTGTTCTCAAAGAGTGATACAACAAATCAGGACGTTTAGGAGGACATTTTGTCATTTTTGAGCTCAGAATTAAAGCAGTGAATGATTATACCAGGGTGAACCTTATACACATCTTGACCATTGAACCACGTCTATGACAACCGAGCAAACTCCCTCCACTCAGATGTGGTTCAAATCTTGGAAAAATCTAGTAAGTGGACCTTGAGTTGATTCATTAGTCAAACTTTAGCACAAGAAGAGCTTAAATGCACATTAGTGAAGCAGAAAGTGACAGTTTTAGCAGAGGTTTAGGTTTTCTTTGCACAGACCAGTAAATGTTTGTGCTATTCAAACACACTGACCCTACCATCTCTTTCCGCAGTAGAGCCAGAGCAGCGTCCAGTCCGCCCTGTTTGCTGTGACCGCGCTGCGCGTCCCCGCCGCCCCGGCTGATGTCGGCCTGGATGCGCGCTCTCTTGCTGTGCACCTTTTCGATGTCCCGCCACGACCCACCGCTGGAGTTCAGGATGCCGCTCAGGCCTTTGGGTAGCGGCGGCAGACCCTCCACTGAGAGGACGCCGCCCACCGGACTGTCCGCCGGGCTGCACCGACTCCCGTCCATCACCGCGACGCTGCACGGCGGACAGACTCAGCACCAACAACACAGCCCCTGTATGGACCACCCTTAAATACGCATGCAGTTCAGTGCTGTCACCCAAGGGTGCTGTTTTTCTCTCCCTCAGCAGCAGAACAAAGCGGTGCGATCCGCAGTCTTGGAAACCGGCTTTTCAAAGGCAAACGCAAGTCCTGTTTTTTATGGATGTGAGTGGGGCAACATCAGATGCAATGAATCCTGGGTTAATGTCAGACTTCCTGGCTTTGTTTGGTTTCCTCTCCTTTGTGTCGGAGAGTTCACCCACAGCCCCCGGCTCCGCCCGGCAGTGACCGCACCACGCCCCGCTCCAGTCTGGGTTTTGGGGCAAAAGGGAGGCTGTCAGTGGTTGGTTTCATTTAACTGGATTACTGCAGAGCTACGTTTAGACACAGCACTAACAGATACGGTCCGACACTGATATCCTAAACAAGCCCGTGATTGGGGGTAGACTAGTAGACTGATAAATTAACCACATAAAAAGGAAAGAATAAATAAATACACGTGTCGATAATTTAATTCCCAGTGCCATAGATTCCACTTGTATTGAAAAAGGATGCACAGGTATGGCTGTAGGTGTAGTTTTAAAGACGAAACATTTTAAACAGAATTGCAATTTACATGTTTATTGGTACTTAAAATGGTACTTGTTTAAATACAGGGTTTTCCAAATTAACAAACTTTATGGCATTGCTTTTGCGTTTGGCGCCCTCTTGTGGAAAGAAACAAACTCCTGAACAGGCAAAGCTTTATTGAGGTTCATAATTAGAAAACACTAACAGCCTTGAACAACACTGAAGCTGGATTGTATCCAATATGAAGTGCTGTCTATTGATGTACAGTGCACAGCTTATTTGCTCTAGATGTTTTGAATGAATAAAGAATTATGGATCTGACTCCTGAATGTTGCCCTGTCTCATTTGAGCAATCACATTACCATCTTCATGTATCAAATATATTTACAATAAAATCCGCAGAACCGCCAACACACAGTGACAATATGTGCATCACCAGAAGGTCAGAGACAACAGAAATCTGTCTGAGATTCAGACTAAACAGTAACGTTAAATGGAAAATGCACAAGCGAGGGTCCGATCAGAGGACTTGTGTGTTCAACAACTTACCAACATTTTAATTGATGACTTACTGTCTAGTAGTATGTTGTTTATCAGCACAGACACTCTTGCTTGTGCGGACACAGACTTGTATGGTACAGGCAGTTGTGCACTGGGGTTTTAGCTTTTGTTTGAATTTTGTGATTTGTAATCCAACACCAGTTTTTGGATACTACACGACAACCAATAAGAAAACGGATGTCATTTTTCCACATGTCAATTTGGTGGCAATTTTGGATCAATAAACCAAAAAACTCTAGAAATACGTTAGCAGTCTTTTACTGTAGAATATAGTTGAGAAGCTTTTTTTTTGTAGAACTTTTTTTATTTAAAATTAATATCAATGATGAATGTGCATTTAGAAGTACTCAGTTCTATCATTATAACTTACAAATTGACAATACAGTCAAATGTTCAACCAATTGTACATAAACTTATTATGAAACCATGTAACATGATATTTCTGCCAGCCATATAGGTATGTTAACTGAAAAGCAACTTTTAACATTTGAATCCTATTTCAAGTGCATTTCCTGACCAATTTTGAATTCAGCTCTATGCAAGGATTCAGTCAAAGAGAGATGCCGCAAAGCAGCGAACCAGAGTCAGTATTCCAGGACAGAGGCAAAGTAGAAACAGCGTTCCCATTAATCCATGGTTTCAACCTTTTCCAGGATGGTTACTGGCTGAGCTCCTTGAGGCTGCGCAGTGAGCTGGCACAGCTGGCGATGAGGCTGCAGAGCTGGATACTTGTCTCGAGCGAGGCCGAACTCTGCAGCTGGGTAGTGGCCCAGCGAAGTTTGGTTAGAACAGCGTCCTCAGCTTCTTGCAACACAGGTTGGAGGACAGTGCTCGGCGGACTAACTGGGGGGCGAGCAGGTGCTAGGGCTGTGGTGGAGGCAGGAGTTGCAGGAGCAGGGGCAGCAGGTGGAGGCAGGACAGCTCTCCCCCCCGCGGCAGCCCCCTCACAGTGTTCCGGTCTGGGAACCGACACACTTGCCTGACTGGTGCTAGGGCCTCCATTGAGTTCAGGAGCCTGGGACGGTGCAGGGGTCTGGGCTGCAAGCTGTCTCTCTCTCACTTGGGACAACGCCGCCTGCGCATTCAGAGCTGAGAGGAGTGGAGAAAAAATTAGAAAGACATGGGAACAAACACAAATAAAAAAAAAAGACAAATAGCTCAAGGCAACAAGAGCAGCGATGGAGGAAAGTAGACAGAAAAAAGAATACATCTGTGAGGAGGGGAGAGAAAGTGTATTTATAACTGATGAGCATTAAATGTGAGTGTGTGAGTAGCGTGTACCAGGGTTGTCCTTGTCAACATCAGAGTCCAGCTCCTGACATGAGACACAGTAGTTTTTCTGCTGTTTGTCCTGGAGAAGAATTGTCTGACAAAAACACGCAAAATAAAACTTATTTCAGCACACACGTTACATCACCTACAAGGCACCACCACCATCACAAACACAACATAAAAACCAACTCCACTCACCCCACACATGTCACAACACTCCCCCAGCATCCTGTATCCTTTGAGCAGGTAGTCTCCCATCAGCTTGCTGATTTTGTCTTGTCGCTCCCTGCGAGCCTGGATCACCTTCATCTCTGCCTCTGTTGGAGGCTCCCACTCGAAGTCCTCGTTATCTGGAGCCAGTGACAAAGTGCTGATTCAATTCAACCGTACTGCACTGCACCATCCTCCCTTAAAATCCACTGCTTTAGCTGTGATGCTACTTACACACAGTCCTTAGCACTGCTGTACCGTGTGTGTGTGTGTGTGTGTGTGTGTGTGTGTGTGTGTGTGTGTGTATCCTGCCCACATCTGTTAGCACTTTGCTGACTTTGTTAATCAGATGTGTACAACCCTTTTGCGCTCATTAGAACATATATATTATATATATATAATATATATATATTACAACAGTTTGGGGTTTAAACGTCATTAGCATTGCCGCAGTGCTCTGCTAGTTGAGTTAAAGGCTAGCTAGCAGAAATCAACCGTCAGCTAACGGTTATCTACGTGGTGGTGACGACAAATCTTAGCAAACAATTAATTACACGCGAGAATCGATTCCTACACCTGCGCCAACATACTTCTTCATCGACAAGACAGGTGAACTGCTGGAGATGTCAAAGTTAGCTTGCGTGTAAGCTCATAAGTTCACAAACCTCCATTCAGAGCCATGTTGCTTCAGTGCTACACGTTGTGCGTAATGACGTCAGAGACGTAAAGTATCGTCATCTTCTTCTTTGAGGTTTTTTTTTTTTACAGTTGGCGTCCTTAACGACGACGGTAGCGCTTCCTCTTGTTGTTGTTGTTGTTGTTGTTGTTGTTGTTGTTGTTGTTGTTTTTAAAGTGCTGTCGCGCTCATTAAACCAAGTAGGTATTTTTTTAATAAAAATAAAATAAACATTTCTTTGACTAAATGTGTCATCTTCGCTTTCTTCTGTCTCTTTTTTACGACACTGATGACAATGACCTGTTAGATGTTTTTCCGTAATTAAAAGTGTCACCAACAGAAAACATTAGTGTGGATGACTCCCTACGGAAGCCCATTGCATTCACTGGATAAATAAAATAAAAAATTACGAGACAGAAAAGGGAAACGTCTGTAAATCCTCTCTCAGTTACGGAAGCGCATTGCATGTCAGCCATGTCAGCTTTTCTGTTGCCACGGTAACGACGTCACATGGCAAAACGTAACAAAGCCACAATGGTAAATAAACCATGTTTTTAATTTACTCATATATATTGTAGCGACCCTGCAGTAATGTTTTTTAAGGGGGGGAGGATCATTTATTTTCCAAAGAGTTTTATTTTTATTTCTGATTAACTATGGCTAATATTTTTTTTTTTTTATAAATATAAGACAACAACTGACTCTGGGTTCAATAATGGAACATAATTTATGTGTCTCAATCTGGATATTCTTGATTTGATAGAAGATCATTCTTGAACAAATCTTATTTTTGGACTTTGGAGCATTTAATGTGACAGAACATATAATAGTTACAAGAGGTATAACATTTTGGTTATGGGAATAATTTATATAAATTGCGCATTTTAAAGTTAGTTGTATAAAAATTTACAATTAATCATGATTTGTTTATTTTGGAAGCAGATATTTTATTTATTTTTATTATAATGTAATCCATCTCTCAAAGGATTAATGGTGTTGAAAAGAAACAGACATATGGACAAACTAAACTGCTATATAAACGTTGAATCTTAATTTTAAGGCCTTGGGATTAGTATTATAATATGGAATTGGGACATTATTAAGATGTAGAGAAACACACGTAAAGAAGGTTTGAGTCGTTCAGCACCACAGACAGAGAGAGAAGGAGAAAGGGGCCTCTAGTTAACCCTTAATCACAACACATAAAGTCAAATGTAGCTGTGTGGGCTTTCAGATAATGATGTTAGAGGGTTTTTTTTTTTTTTTTTTAGCAGAAAACAGAATAAGATGTTAACAGAGGTACAAGCAAAAAAGTGGTGTGCTTTGCACAGTGAGTTCCTCTCACAAACAGTCTTTCCACACATACAATATGAAGAGAAAAAGCACTGCTTCATTTTATTATGTACATATTTACTATGACCAACAAGGGTAAGAGCTTTAAGTATACAGTGACAATTAAAAGAACAAAATGTAGTGGAAAACTGTGTGTGGATTACTGTGCCCTGTGATTTATGTACAGGTTCCTCAAATTGTCTAATTATCGTTCCATCAGGCTTCAGCATTATTACAAAATGTTACTGTATTTTGTGGGCAGTGAACTGAAATGTTACCGGACAACTGAAGGAGAGCAGCATTGACTCTGACATACTAAAAGCTGTCCTCTCAATACAAAGTGCTGGTCAATTAATGAAAACACAACAAACAAACCCCAATCACAATCATTCTGGTTTTACAATAACTTTATTGTATTAATATTAGGTTTCAGGCTTGACATCAAAAACATGATCTGATACATTTCACAGAAAGACAAAATAATTGACAATAATAGATGAGTTCACTGTAATCCAAAGCACAGTGGTTTTTATGGTCTTCAAAGTTATTATCCTTCCCCCGCTCGTACTTGTGTGTGTAAGTGTGGCTCTACACAAGTCTTTGGTGTCTAAAGGTTGGATACTATTTAGCAATCCAAATACATCTAAATGACATCAATTAAACAAGAAAAACAAGAACAACAAAACTCTGTGAGGGGACTAATGTTACACCTGTTCATCCTTGGTGTGTTGAAAAGATCTTTCTCTTTAGTCGCTTCGTTATTGTCATTTGGTTTCATGACACCAGTCGCATTCCTTTTCCTCTTTGTTTTGAGTCACTTCCTCTTCTCAACCTCCAGGGTAACATCCTCTCTGGAAATAAATAAACACAAAGAGATGTTTACACACACATACACTATGTGGACAATACAGGAAATACTGTATGGATGATTACTCAACTGGATTTCATGTACTCTGTTGTATTATAAAGGGGAAAAAGGACGCTATAAATTACAGAAAATATCATTCATTTTTATGCCCCCTTATAAGAGTTATTCCTTAGCCTAATGTACACACACGTAGACACATAAAACAAAGCACATTATGGACAAATATCTTTACAGGGTTGCATAAAATCAGCTTAAAACATCTGAATGCATGCACACAGAGTCCAACAGAGTCAAACAGTGCAGACGTGACTGAACTATATACTGTGTGTTTGTGTGTAAACCTCACCTTGACTATGGGGGAGTTTTCTTTCAAGACACTGCAAGAGGAGAACATAAAAACAGAAGCGAATTAACAAAAAAGTAAATCTCAACAATATGATTTCCAGGTGATTGTGAAGTGACTTACGCTGATGTGCAGTCTTTACTCTGCTCAGTTTGGAAGGCAGGTTGATGTGAAATGAAAGAAAAAAGGACGAGACGTTAAACTCATTAGAAAAGCCAGCATGTGGACTGTGCACTGGTATCAGGAAAATAGTGCACAGAAAAAAAATCTAACATTTGTTTGTTGGAGTTATTAATAAAATACCTTGGGGTTTAGGGTGCATGAGTATCAATGGCAGCTCCACTGTGACATCACTGCAGAGAAAACAAACCAACCAATCAGAATAAAACATATGATTGGTGCTGAACTGGCTTTAGCCCTATTATGGGTTGTAGTATAATCTTAAGTAAACCCCACTCACCTGGCAGTGAGGCCACCCAGCAGGCTACATGAAGACAAGAGGGACACGTGTTTGTTTTACTTCATAAATTTTATTCTTTAAAAAAACAAAAAACGAGTCTTCGTGCTGAAAATGTTTAAACATGAACAGACACTTACCCTCCTCCGGCCACCATGAGGTTAATTTTAATCTTGTAGGAAACCAGAATTCCCAGCACTTCTTTTTCAACACCCTGTCGCAGCCTGTGTGGAAGAGGAATTACAAAGATTTCAGGGATTAGAGAGTTTTATGCAGTAAAGTATCATAAAAACTACTAACTAAGACATTAAGGACATGCAAGAGAGGGTACTGTGAATGTGAAACTACATGAAGTGCCACATGCAAGTTATGCAAAGTCTCTTGCAATAATCAAATGAATTACATGTAACTTACACAGTGGTGGAGGCCAAGTTAGTGTCCTCATCCTTCAGTCGTCCATCCAGTGCCAGCCCCCTTTTCTCCTTGTTTTCAGCCAGTAGGGGTGTGATGGTCACAGTGTTGTCATAGGTGGAACCGGCCTCCACTGTCTCTCTGCGGAGGATAAAACACAAACACACTCATGTCAAACTGTGTTCTTGAGTTTTCCTACAGTGGTATGTAATGTTTCATATTTGCTGTGTGATTTTCTATTTTCTATCCACCTACCCAAACTCTTGGATGAGAACAGCCTTGGTGTATTTATCTGCTGAGTAGAGGACGATGTCTGTGGTTTGGTCCACTGTAAGAGGATGGAAATGAAGATCAGAGAGAGGGAGACAGAATAATTGTGTTGTGCTCTCAGTCATATTAAATCTATACAAAAGCGTTTCTATGATCATCAGTACCCACCAGTGATTTTGAAATTCTTGACTGTTTTGTTGCTCTCATTGTTGATTTTGATTTTGATTGGGATTGATTCGCCGTGGAGGTAGAGCTGTGGTCAAAACCAGAAAAAGAACAGTTAATGGTGCTATAGTTGGGAAAACTTCATTCAAACTATAGTAAATTATAAAGATTTGCTACTGTACATCTTTCTCCAGGGAAGCTTCTAGATGAACAGGCTTGTCAGACATCATGAAGCTTTTGCAGATTTCAGCCTTGGGCCCGGCGCCCGCCTGAGAAGGAGCGTACTGGATTTTACGAATGACAAGGCGAGCAGTGTCCCTGTGAATGGGATAGAAGATGGATGAAGAAGATAGAGAAGTTGTTAGTCAGGCAGAATAGTAACGCGAACGGTTGAAAGATGGAAGATGAAAGCATACGTACTTCTTTTCAATCTTCTCATCAGGGTTGCTCTTTTCCTTGGCAAGGTAGGTTTTGACCTCAAAGTCGACACCACAAGCCTGAAAATAAAATATTAGCAGTTGACAACAACTCCTTGCTTCCACAGTAGCGGGTGTAGGACACGGGGAGGTGAATGATGTTGGCAGATTAGCGTGAGGTTTACCTTTCCCTTGTCATCTGGTCCAGGCTGCAGAGAGACTGAGCATGGCAGGTTTGGGGGAATCTAGAGATACAAAGAAGAACATTTATCACTAAGCAGAAAAGATAAAGATAGATCATTTATGTTTACTCACAAAATAAAGCACCAAATAGGAATATGGGAGTTCAGACTCATGTTGTCTTTTGCTTTCTATACTCTAAGCAGATTATTAAGGCAGTGGTATTGCCGCCACACCAGTATCTGTATCTGGAAATGTTTCATAATAGTCATACTTCAAAAGTGAAAGGATGTGCGTTGTCTCCGGCCTTCTTCAGCAGGGTTTCATGCATGGCAGACGGGGCAGGCTTGTGGTCTGCAGGGTAGATCTGGTAATGCTGGATCCAGATGTCCTTCCTGAACTGCAGGCCCATAAAATCCAGGTCTTCATTACCATACCGGAAGGCACATGCCAGCTGCACAAACACTGTCAACACATTGCGATAAGTTCATTATTTCATTGTGATCTATTACAAATAACTTGGGAGGGGAACTTCAGGTGGAACTTTTTATGATGTTACCTTTTCTGTCTCCAAAATCTGCTGGGTCCAGCTTCACAACACCATCTGTAAAGGTAAGAGTGCAGTCATTGTTACAATGTTTTTATCCTCACTGTGGCTGCACAGACACACACACACAAACACATACACACACACACACACACACACACTGAACAAGCAACGTACCAACTTTGTCCACAGCGGTCACGTTGTCCACATAGTCTCTCTTCCCAAGATAGAGGGTCAGCTGTCAGACAGAAAGAAGGAAAAACACTTGAGTGCTTCAAAACCCCACTGACTTTTCCCCCCCAAGTATGTTTAATTCATTTTTCATGGAAAAATCGATACACAACTCAAAACTATCAACAAACAAACAAATGTAAACTTACCCCTCCATTTCCACTGGTCTTCTTGAAAACCCTGTGAAAAAGGGAAGAGAAATGTCACTTAAAGACTATTTGTGTCTAATTTATCAACTCTTATTTTGACCCAAGAGTAAACTGGAATCCTTTATGCCCTCTTCCATCCTTTGCTTTTTCCTTCTCCTTCCAACAATCATCACTTATCAGAAGTGACGACAGTACATTTTATATATGTAAAGTATATGTATAACAATATAAATAAAGGATAAAAGGGAATAGGAGTACATCTATTGACAGAGTTGCTATCTGGATTAAGCTGACGAAATAATGCTTAGTTTTAGACTCTGAAGGTAAAGAAGGTTCATTTGCACATAGCAGAAGGGCCAGTAATCCCTTATTCCCCTTTATCCTGTTAGGAAAAGCTAAGTGTGGAGCAGCTTTATTTCATCCTGCCCGGATTGAGAGGCTGGCCCAGGTGAGGGAGCTACAAATGGCAGAGTTCCAGAATAGTCTGAAACCACATTTGAACCAGTGCCCCAACTGATTAATCCTCAGATAAATGCTTTAAAACAACTTGTCACTTTTAGGAGTTGGCTGACCCGTGTCAAAGTCTGCCACTCCAAAGTAGTACAATTTTGAAAGGCGATTACAGGTTTAATGTCAGTGTTTCAGCTCTTTTTAGCAAAAGAGGCCAAACTTTCCTTTAATGACAACTTTTTATTATTTTTGTGAATTTGCAGTGTGAGGAAAACAACACTTACTTTGCCATCTCTGCGGGAAGTGTTCTGTTGGAAAAAAAGAATAAAGAAATGACTTTTGGTTATTTGGAAGTCAAAGCATCAGCAGGTGTTGTGATTAAGACATTGATCCTACACCAACTGTCAGCTCAGCCGGAGTGATGTTTTGTTTTGAAGGTACTTAAGGTTAATCCGCTGCAATAAGATTACACCATCAGAGTTAGGGTTCCTTAGCCAAACCTGTTATTCCGTGTCCACTAACTGGACCTTATTCAACAGATACCGGCTTCACACCAAACTCGACGCCAGATTTACATGACACACACGTGCACATTATCTCATGATGCCTTCCCCTTCCGTAACACCAGTGCCAGAGATGTTGCTTGTGTGGACTTTGTTGGGACAGTTAAATGGATAGAACCCATTTAATACTGTTGTATATCAGGACTCGATGAGACTTTTAGTCCTAGCACTGGCCCTCTATAGCTCCATAATGAGTATTATTACACAAAGGTTAAAAGAGCTGTACGCATTTGATTAATTGTTGTTGATTAAAGATTTTCAAAATCAACTGTGAATGCCATTTCTTATCCCTCAATTAACTTTCAGGAATCATCTATCTTATTCATGTATTTACTATGAGAAACTTGGCACTTTAAGAAAAAGCTTAGGGGCTGCACGCACATTTCAGCACCATGGAGACGTACTGTACAGATGCACTCCTCTGTTTTTATGGGCTAATAAGATTTGCCCATTTGTTGTGACAAATCCAGTAAATGCTCTCCTGTAACTGCTTAGCAAGTAATATAAATATTAATTAACTAAATTATCACTCATTCATTTCTTGGATACATGCAACTGCAACCAGTTCTGAAACTATTTGGCACTATAATATTCAAACATTAATGTTTTGATCTACAGTTAACTCAGAGATAGATCAATGTTCTGTTATTATTATTGCTCAATTTAGCACAATTAATGCTGGCTGCAGATAATCAATTTAATAGGGGACGTGATGTGACATCGCTCCCTAAACCGAGCCAACAAACTGTATCTTGCATCTGCACATCTCACAATGAAAATGTGTTCCTTTAACTAACTGTCTACAATTCAACACATATGCAAACTGCACTGGGAAATCAAAAAACATTTACCTGCAAACCTACCATCAGTCAATCAGGCTACTTTAATCTACAGCATACTTTGTCCCCTTATAGCAAGCTTTGTATGTATCTGTTGTAGAAATGCCTTACAACTCCCATTTGAAGAAACTGTAGGCCATAAGAGGCCGCACCGTGTAATGAAATTAGGCTGACCCCTAACCACATACAATCTCTCAAATGAGCCCATGTAGTTTTCCTCATCAGCGTATTCTATTAAAAAGGTAAAATCATACATAGTTCTTCAAGTGAAGGTTCTGTAATTAATCATTGGTATCGTCACTAAATTCATCCATCCATCCATCCATCCATCCATCCATGAAGAGACTTACCTCTTATCAGTTCTCTGGGATCTTGGTAGAGTGTGTCAGGGTAAGTGGAGAGTGCAGCCTGCGACAGTTGATCTCCCTTTTTATACAAGCAGCCGCTCTCTGGGCATAATTCGGACTTATCGCGTTCATCGTTGTTGCCATTGCCTGCTTGATAATCCAGTTAAGCAATCAGCGGATAGCTTTTTTGGGACTACAAAGGGTTTAATAATACCAGCCGGTTAAATCACAGGAACATACAACCACATAGCCTCCACGTGGCTGTGGTCATAGTAGGCTGATAATCCCCATTGGATCTCCACAAACCAAGCAATCAAGTCACCTTTCATCAAAATAAATCATAAATCACAACGTTTTAGGCCTTTTCTGATCAGGATTCATTTTTCTGAGGGTCATCATTGTAATTTTTTTGTGTCATGACATGTGGATTGCTGCTATATGTTGGTTGACTTGTGTTTAATAATAGACTTTAGAATCACTATTATTAGCCAGATCTATGTGAGCGGCACCTGTTTTAAACAAGGGGTCACGCTGTGGAGTGAACAAGGGATAGGCACCTTAAGAATCTTTCTTTACGCTCATTGCTTATTATATTTTGTAAGTGTTGCTTATAAACAATTAGCTGCAGTTTGCAATGTATGTTTATCAAGGAACCCAAAAAATCTGATAAGCAATTTAAAATGAACAGTTTTTCTATTTATTTATGAAGAAAATGTTAAACAGTAACAATAAATGATGTATAATATTTTTAGATATACTCTATAAGTAGTGTGGAGATTCTCAGTACTTCAGTCTGTCTGATCTCAGCAGATTAAGGACTCCTAGTCCCATTACAGAGTGGATGATGGGAGCATCGGAGAGCGTCAGAGTAAGCTGTCTTATTTAACACTCAGTAATGTGCCAGAGATTAAGAAGAATAACCAGAACGATTCCCTTTTGAGACTCCAAAGGTCCACAAGTGCATGTTAAAAATTTCATTGTCAAATCGAAATCAAAAACCATAGTTTACCAAGAGACTGTTACTACTGCTACTCTAGCTGGTGTCTTGTCTTATGAAGTGCTGAAACAAGCACATAGAGAATATTTTATTTGATTTTCAAGACATGGCACATAAAGACCAGTTTAAGGGGATTAAAGACAATATAATTGGTCAGATAGTTGAATATCTTTAACGCTCACTGAAATGACAGACTGATATTGGGGAAGTGGTGGAAGAAGTACTAAGATAGCAATATCAAAGAGGAGAAATACTCCTTATTATATTATTACTCTTAGAGTAGAATATAAAAGTTCAAACATTCATATATATATATATATATATATATATATATATATAGTTGGAATCCAGCCAAGGTCAACAGAGTGACCTCCAGGCCAGTAGGACGCTCCACAAGGCAAGGGTCACTGTGATATGTGAAAGCTTGATCAGCTTGATCAGTGCTCAGGTTGTTTGATGCAATGGGAAATTAAAGCTCCAACTGAAAGGTGGTACTGTTGGGTCTCTGTAAATAATGTTATAAGGAGTTCGGTCTAGACCTGCTCTATTTGAAAAGTGTCCTGAGATAACTTCTGTTATGAATTGGCGCTACACAAATAAAATTTAATTTAATTTAATTTAATTGAAAAGAGGTTATATAACAAAGCAGACTATAATTTCCATGGTTGTATAAATGTTCTTGCCTTTGCAACATTGTTCTTGACCACACCTCTCTGCGTTCAAGTTAAAATAAAACATATTAGCAGGCTCAGACCTCACCAGAGAGGTCACATTACCTCCATACTAATCACTGTTTTGTCTGCCCTACAAATTGCTTCCTGGAAAAGTGTGGCGTCTAAGGGCTCTCAGCCTTTTGATCACCAATGTGACAGTGATTCCCTATGAGGAGGATTTCCCTGTTGAACACATGACCAAATGACGAGCACTCCCACGCATTTGTATACAAATAAAAACAGAGGGAGAGAGAAAAAGATTGCAAGTATTTTGGACTTTTGATAGACCCCACTGTATTGGCTGTATTAGTTTGATTGGGAAATATGACATTGAACTAATTTATCTAAAGGTTTAAATGTATTATTATGTCTTTCCTTCTCTGTCCGATTCTCCACCACTGCCTTCTTTAACCACACACTAATAAAAGCCTGCATTGGTCCACTAAGGTTTATTAAACCAAGACAGGTACTTTGTGTCTGCAGGCTAATTTTAATCCAGTTTATTGAGTTACTTGCACATGCTTGCCTTGTACCAAGTGTGTGTGTAACAGTGTGTCATATTTGTTCCTACTATTTGTGAAAAAAATAAATAAAAATGTTATATATTAATTTAAACCTAAACAAAAATTCTCAATACAAAATTAAGTCTTCTCTTTTAAACATTAACATGATTTTGTGTGAACAGATAAAAGACACGTCTCTGCTTTGGAAAAAAATATATGTATACAGAGTGCAACCTATCAGGAAGCCCATGTTGGCCCTGTTCCTGTACTGACTGATGGTTTTATTTAGGACCAGCTGACTGAACTTAGGTAGCTGAGCCTTTTTAAGACCAAACACTTGAGGCCAGTTGCACTAACAATGATGTGGAGCGTCCCATGTGGAGGGTCAGCCAAAGAGCACAACCAGCATAAGAAATTATTTATTAGGAGAAAATAGGATGAGATAAAGGGATACACACGGATAAGAAGAAAAGGTACATGATTTGAAGCTAAAGGCGAGTACAGATATATAAATAAACAACATCAGGAAACAATGTACAGGTGAAATGAGCCCTTACAATCATACACGTGAACTGATGCTTGTGCTTACATCAACATGCTTACATGCTGATTATTTTTTATCATGTTCACCACCTTAGTTTAGGATCAGCACTAAACACAGAATACAGCTGAGGCCCATGGTTAGTTTAGCAGACTTGATCATAAACCAAATAGTGGCACCAGAGGAAAGGTCAGGTAATCACCAAAGACAGAAGGATTCATCCTCTGGGGACCATGATTGTCTGTACAAAATTTAATCTGAATCCATTCAGCAGTTGTTGACATATTTCAATGAATGGTTTGTATTTTTACAGTGATGTTTTGATCTACAGACCACTCAAAGCACTTGTCACATTCTTACACTGATGAAATGCAAGGTACTAAGCTGCTCATCAGGAACGATCCAGCGCTTGCCGTCTAAAGCGCTGATACTAAGCCATATAGCAATTTGGGGTTCGGTATCTAGCCAAGGACACTTGGACACCAACTGCGGGAGCCAGGAATTTAACCAGTGACCCTCCGATGACTGGACGACCTGCTCCCAGCCCGGACTAAGATCTATTTTCATTTTATTCATTTTTTTAAATGTATGTTCTTTTTTTGCATTAATTTAAAATAATCTATAAAGCAGAGCCAATTGAAATCATATTGCTTTTGGTGATTTAATTAATTAGAAATTTGTCACCTTATCTTGTGGCCCTGTCGTGTAGAGGGGTCCTGCGACAGTACCTTAATTATTTTAGTGAGTGCTCATACGGTCCATATCTCCAAGGCTGTGTTCAATCAGTGTGTAGGATTTAGTGACATCCAACGTGGAGGTGAGACACAGAGCGTGGGAGGTGGGTGGGTGGGTGGGGGCTTGTCCAACCCGACCATTCCTACTGTTTATGTCACAAGGTAATCCAGAGGTGGTTTACAATCTCCTGATTTTAAAGCGCCATCTAGCGGATCCAGTGAAAAATAACTCATACCCTCTCCCTTTTTTAAAAAATTCCCTACCAGTGTTTCATAGATTCTCTGTCGTGTTAGAAAATACAAGTAATCTTCAAGATCAGGAACGAGAAAACAACTTATTTTTCATATTTTACAGCCTGATGGTGCTGGTTAGATATTCTCTTAAATTCTTGCTCGGTAACAACAGACTAAATAATCAAATAATGGTTTTAGCATCTTCTCTGATAATAAGATGTGCATTTGTGGCGCGCAGCTGTGCAGCGTGCAAACTTATTTTGGCTTTGACGTCAGGTGAGTGAAACACACCCCATCATCCTGATCCGGAGTCTGCTGAGGTGCGCAATCAGCGCGCCGCTCGGTCCGCCCGGACACTGCAGTGTGGGTTACCGTGCCATCGCTGCAGCTGCTCGTTCCCGACACCACGTCCCGCGGCAGACTTCACGGATCCGGGGAGAACAGGGGAGAGGGAAGCGCTTGAAAGCCATGGCCGAGTCCAACCCGCTGCGGGGCTTCCCCCGTCTGCGCCGGGCCGCGGTAAGCTCCGCCGGGAGGTGGGGAGGTGGGAGGCTTCGTACGGGGCGGCGAGGATACTGCAGCAGAGAGAGGAGCAGAGAGAGAGAGAGAGAGAGAGACAAGCTGTTCTTAAGACAGTTCAGTACTGCGACACAGAGGTTGGGATGTGCTCTCAGTACAGTGCAAACTGCATTAGACATTTAAAATGCCTCTCGGTTAAGAGTCTAGTCAGATTCAGATGGCAGTTCAATGTTAAAGAGTGTGTGCAGGGGACCAGGACAGGCCAATGACAAATGTAGTATTTGTGTGTGTGTGTGTGTGTGTGTGTGTGTGTGTGTGTGTGTGTGTGTGTGTGTGTTTGTTTGACTGCTACTGCAGGTACAGAACAGCAAGAGGCTGGTTTAGATTTAGGTACAGCAGTCTGTAACTGGAGTGTGGAGTGTGTTCAACTTCAAACAGCTTTATGTAACAGATTTAGGGATACCTGTCAAAAAGCCTACTTGGTGCCCACAAATTTAAAATACAGTTGTGGAATGCAGTCTGCAATCATCCAATGACATCCATCATGGCTGCTGTATCAGTAACTATCCAGGTTCACAACTTGGATCATCTTAACTAGTTTGGTAATTCCTTCTTACAAAAGGCTGCTGCAGGTGAATGGGAGAGGAAGCTGAGGTCTCAGATCAGCAGTTTCTGGTTTTAATGGTCAGGTTGTGATGATTTAACCCACCTAACACAGAAAACGGTTTCTTTTACTGTCAGAGTAGAAGCTCTTGTGTGATGTATTACCTGTAGCCTTGTTTCTGAAAGGGGAAAATAAACTTGTCAGCTTTAGAGGAGAGTGAAAAGCCATTTGTTTATTTTATCAGATGACACTGTATCCTTTAATGTTGAGGATAATGTGAAAGCAGTGTAGCAAAAGCAATACAGACACAGTCCACTGCCCCTGCCAAGTCTACCAATTGGTACAGAGTAGAAGGGCTTTAAATTAAGTGTAAATTATCTTCCATTGGATCTGTGTAAACACTGCTGAGAAAATGTGGGGCGGGCAGGGTGTATTTTGGAGGAGATGAGATGGATGAGATGGCAAGCAGGTGAGGAAAGAGTTGCCACAGTTGGAGCACTTTATTAGTTGTCTGCTCAGTGGTAATCAGTCTGTGGTAGTCACTTGTCCAAACAAGTAATAAAACAACACTGCTGGCTTTTAATCCTCATGCCACTGTGTTCAAAGACCGCACAAGATTTGGATTTTAAAAGCAAACGCAGCAGTGTAGTTCAGCAATTATTTGCTGCATCTCTCGTTGATAATATGCTATTCAGAGATGTGATCTGCTGCAGGGAAAAAAACACAGAGACATACACTGACAGAGACAGAGAAGAACCATAAAAATATGGAGAAAACTGGAGCCAGAGGACAGCAGAAGCCACATGGAAAATGAGAGTTAACTGAGATAATAATGACAGTGAGGGCATGTTGGTCATGAAAAATAGTGACGAAACAGCGGAGTTAGTCGGAGGAGCTGACTGTCAGACCTGCTGAGCCTTCCCACATTGACAGTGAGAGATGCTGATGCTGTGTTGAGCTCTGCTAGTCTGCACGACTAACAATCAGCTGTCAACAATACCGACTGACAGTCTGACTCCTCTCATTCTCTGCTCCTCTGTCCTGATCCGGAGACCTGGTGGAGGATAAATCCATGAAATCTCAGTTTACCACAATGTTGGGTTGACATAAATAATTTACTTTAAATAAATTCATGGTGCATCACAGTCAGTCCATAGTCATGCATATTCAGAGCAGAGGGTTTAAACTTCTGCCCAGTATTGATTTGCAGTTGTGACTTTATGCATTTTCAATTACCTCTCCTCCTCATTTGTCTGCTCTCCACGATTTACTTGTGTCTAAGTGTCTAATAGTATTATGAAGTTGAGTAAACAAATATGATAACACACCTATTCCTCTTTAAGACCTCATTTCCAGGCAACCTGCATTTGGTCTTGGTGCTCCGCCCCACCGGCTTGTTAAGCACCACCCCCAGTCCATCTTCAAGCACCGACCTGGGCTTTCGCTTCAGCCAGGATGACTTCCTGTTAAAGATGCCGGTAAGACAACTAGGGTTAAAAACTGAGTCTATTAAACGTATGAAGATATGTTTTACCAATCTAATGCAGCACAATCCTGTCTCTGCTCTACACTACACACTATCTTCCTGTCCATTTCCAGCAAAAAACTGGAATGAACAAGATCAAACATGGTGTTGTTTTATTGGAACCGTTCATTTCTCAGTACGCAGTACAGTATTGGCCTGGGGGCTGCTATAGATGCCTTGTGGCTCTGTGTTTGTAGGTGGTGATGCTGCGTTCGGTCGGTGACCTGCTGCGCTACATCGATGAAAACCACCTGACATCAGACTTCACTGCGAAAGTGGAGTATTGCCAAAGTGACTGGATCGTCCTCCGCACGGTATGCACTTCTGATGTGTGTCTGAAGACAAAGCTAGGTTCAAGCCAAGCTGCACATTCCCAGTGGTCTTTGGAGCTGAACATAAAACAACACAAGAAATTAAACTAACAACTCAGCTATGAACACTGTTAGATTTACTCGACAGCAGCAGACAGGAGGACACAATATCTCAATATAAGACATTTTTTTCTTATCAAGCCCTTCTTATAGGCCTTACTTTTGTTCTTGTATTTAATCATTTTGTTAATTTAACAGATTTGTGTTAATGTGTTTTTTTTGTATGTGTGTCTGCAGGCCATTGAGACATTTGCAGTGACAGTGAAGGAGATTGCTCAGCTGCTGCAGGGCTTCGGCTCAGAGTTGTCTGAGATCGAACTTCCAGACGAAGCTAACGCAATCGAGTTCCTGCTGCACTCACACACACACCGATACCGACAGATGAAGGTTACTGCTGGCTCTCCTTGCCCCCACTACTCTAGCTCTGTGTTTGATTTTTCTTTGTTTTGTGTTTTTTTTGTAGTTGCAATGGTTGTTGGTGTTGTCGTGATTTCATTGGTCTTGTTGTTTGTCATGTTGTTTTAGGACGATATCCGTAATGTGCTGAAAGAGGGACGTCTGCTGCTGTCGAACCTGGAAACTGTCAAGGCCTCTAAGAGAGATATAGAGGACGAGAGGGACATAAGAGTAGACATGGACACTGTTCAGAGGTACAGCGTTCAAACATCTTTTTAGACAAAATAATTGGACACAAGACAAGTTTTTACTGTACGCCATGTTCTCAGTTTGACACTAACATCTTATTAAACATTTATTTTGCCAGGCAACTTGTGTGAACGTCTGTGTGTCATGTGTTTTAGGCTCCTGGCCCAGCTCAGAGACATGGAGGAGGCGTTCGATGGCTTCTTCGAGAAACACCACCTGAAGCTGCAGCAGTACCTTCAGCTGCTGCACTATGAACTGAGTTTCCAGCAGGTGTGATGATTGGTGTCTGTCTGCTTCATATTAGCCCTCAAGTCTATGTGACACTGTGATGATTAACTATGTGTGTGTGTGTGTGTGTGTGTGTGTGTGTGTGTGTGTGTAGATGGATGAGGTGCTGGAGAGGCTTACTAACCAGGAGAAGGACATTGCCTTTGTGGGGACCACAGTGGTTCAGACTGAACAACTGTTGAGAGACCTGGAGATGCTGGACGCATATGCTCAGGTGACTAGCAAAGTCACACAACAACCACAGTTTGAGATCAGGTGTTACAGCATCAGTATATCACGATATCATTGTAATTCTAATCGTGATATCATAATATAATGTAACACAATATGTACGGCATAATTCTTCCCAATATACAGTGTCATTTTTAGTATTAAGTACATACTGATACATTCATACATGTAGAAATAAGGGAACAAGGTGTGAAGTTATAGGGAATAAGGGAGTAACAATCTAATAACTTCTTGCTTCCTGGCACCTCTTTCTTGTGTTTTTTGACATGGATTTGATTTTTATTGTACTTTTTACTTTTTCACACTTAAGGGGTTGTTAGGGATTTTATTATAATGTAATATATTTATTATTATTACACCCACTGTCATTGCTAGTAACTCTGGAAGCTGTAGGTCGGTTTGCAGTGGAAGAACAGCTCCCCATACAAGATTTCATGTTGTACAGGTATTTTGCTGGTTGCACACAATGAGTGTGCTCATTATTTTTTTTACTTTTCAAGAAAAAAATGTCTGTTTTCTGTAAACTACAATCGTCTTCTTACATCAGGAAACGACAACATTTGGATTTGTGGGAACATGAAACCCAAACACAATGGATCTAATCAATGTTAATAAAAGACGAGGTGTAATGAAATGGTGTTCGACTCCTATTGGAACCGAAAACCTTTGTGTGTGTGTGTTTGTGGATCAGGAAGAGATGGCTCGTGCCCAGGTGGTGATCCTTCATGGTCACCAGTTGGCCGCCAACCACCACTACGCCCTGGCACTCATCGTCCAGCGCTGCAATGAGCTGCGTCATCACTGTGATGTCATCACTACTGCCATACGCACCAAGCGGGCCTCGCTCAATCGAGCACGAGACCTGCTGCTCCGCCTAGAAGGGGTAAAAATGCTTTTTTTTGTTTCACTGTAAAATGTGCAAGGGCCACCAAGCATATGACAGAAGAAGGGCAAAAAGCTTAAAACGACCTTTATTAAATGTGAGTCTTTTCTTTGTCCTTTTTTATGATCAAATTTAAAAATCTGTATAAAGTACCTTAAAACATGTGTTTTCTTGTGTCCTGTGTTTTTATGTGCGTGCAGGCCCTTCGGTGGTGTGATGAAGGCGCCTATCTTCTGGCGAGTCAGATGGTGGACAGATTCCAAACCAGAGAAGGCGCTCAGGAGGCGCTGCAGGTCCTAAGCTGTCACCAGGAGAGGGCGCCATCCGCACTTAAAAACAACCAGGACACTCTGAGCCTGGAGTTTGAAGCCACACTCACCCCACAGCTGCAGGTAACCCCCCCCCCCACTGACACCAACACATAGATGACGCACAACTCACCTCAACTCACTCAACTTTTTCTTCTTTCTTTCTTTCTAGTCCCAAATCTCCATGGTGACAGAGAAGCTGAACTCAGTACAGTCCATGATCAGAAACAGAGAGCAGTGTCTGAGGAAGTTGGCGGATGTACAGGTCAGACCAATCCAGCTAGTGGCCCCCAGGCCCGAACCCGACCAGACCTGGCAGCGCTGCAAATCACCCCTCTTTTCCCCCAAACATGGTACGACCCCCCTCTGACGGCCCCTTCTCCTCACATTGATCAGTGTTCACTTCACTTGTGTATAAAATCATCTGATAATTTTCAAGAATGAATCAGATGATTTTTTTTTTCCTACTTTTATTTCTTGAGTGTAGATTTATTTTTATGGTTTGGATTTTGTCCACAATCTGTTGTTGACTGGGATGTCATTATAATAAAGTTCTGTCTTCTCCTCTTCTTACAAGCCCCAATCATTATGTTTTGTTCTCTCTTGTATAACTCCTCTGCAGCCTTTGGTCTGCCTTTTTTCTCTGTCATGTGTATATGTGATTCTCTCCACAGTTGTAGACTTTAACGTCCTGAACTCCAAGTTCTCCTTTGACCTGCTTCCTGGCAAGAGAGCTGCGAGGAGGAACAACAGCCAACGCAAGGTGTGAGCCACACTGACTCTATGGATAGCATGCTAAACTAGGATTATGAACATGGTCAACATCATACCTATACATCATACATAGATCAGAATGTTAGCATTTAGCTTTAGCAAAAAGCATCTCTATGCAGAGTGCAGCCTCACAGAGCACACAGAGAGTGTGAGAGTGTACCGTCCTTGTCCTACCATCTTGTATCACCTGAGAGGCGTTGTATAATCACTGCATTCATGTAATGACTGTCACTGCTGTTTTTGCCTGCATTCCCTTATTTGTTTAGTGGGAATACTGATTGTTGTTTACACTTTAAATAATCATAAGCTAACAATTGTGTATTTATTTTATCAATGAGGATAATTTATTGTTTATTATATGCCAGAACGTTGTTTGTTTGTTGTATGTTTTGTCAGATCGAGGTCATGCATGATTTCCAAGGCAACCGCAGCTGTCTCTATGGTCCCACCCCTGAAACGGATTCAGAGGCAGAAGACAATCCAGAGCAGGTCACACGGTACGCAATCTTTCACCTGTCACACATGATCCTTGACCTGAAGTTTGACCTGTGACTCTAACCTTGCACTTTTGTGCATTATTCTGTATGTGTCATATGTGGCATTAAGTCTTTCCTTTTGCCTTGCATTCAGTTTTTGTTTATTTTTCTCTCATTCTCACCTTTTATAGCCATATTATGAAGGAACTGATCGCTACAGAGAGGATCTATGTAGATGAGCTGCTCTCTGTCCTTCTGGTGAGTTTTATTTTTTTTTATAGCATTTTGCTTTTGTTAGATAGTTTACAGGCTAGAATAACAGAGAGATGAGAGAGGGAAAAATGTTCCACTCTGTTGTATAAATGCATTTTGTTATTCTGTATTTCCTGTTTTGTCCTGTAAACTTTTCCTCTTGTTTTTTTGCTCTCTTCTCCATTCTTCATCCTTCTCCTCTCTCCTATCTCCTCCCTTTCTCCTTCATCCTCTCCTCCTCTCCTTTCTCCTTTTCTGTGTCATTTCCCCTCTCCTACTTTTCTCTCCACTTTTTCATCTCCTTCCTCCTTCCTCCTTTCCTCTCCTCTCATCTCCTCTACACTTATCAGGGCTACAGGGCAGAAATGGAGGACCCATCCATGTCTAATCTTCTTCCTTCAGCTCTACGCAGCCAGAAGGACGTTTTATTTGGCAACATGCCAGAGATTTACCAGTTCCACAGCAGGCAAGACACACACGCACACACACACACACACACACACACACACACACACACACACACACACACGCTGAGCTGACAAGCTGTCACAGAGTCCTTGTTTCCCCCTCTTTGCCCGCCAATCCAATTCCTTTCATTTTTCCTCTTGGATTCTCCATTCAGGATCTTCCTCCAAGATCTGCAGGGTTGCCTGGAGACACCAGAGAGGGTGGGAGCTTGTTTCCTGCAACGGGTGAGCTAACATGAGGAAAAACATGGGAACTTTATGTGAAGTGATATGACATAACATATCTAAGTATACGTTTGTGTGTGTGTGTGTGTGTGTGTGTGTGTGTGTGTGTGTGTGTGTGTGTGTGTGTGTGTGTGTGTGTGTGTGAGCAGAAAGAGAAGTTCCAGGTGTATGAGCGTTACTGCCAAAACAAGCCTCGCTCTGAGTTGCTATGGAGACAGTGCTCTGATTCGCCCTTCTTTCAGGTAGTTAAGTCCTTACAGCAACATTATCCACTCTCTATGGAAGTCATTTGCATTAGTGGTTGTTTTTCTTATTTTCAAAACAAAATGGTTTTATGATTACGCCTCGAGCGTTACAGGCAGCTGTCTAAAATCTCACTCTCTCTCTCTCTCTCTCTCTCTCTCTCTAGGAATGCCAGAAGAAGCTGGACCACAAGCTGGGTCTGGACTCTTACCTCCTGAAACCAGTCCAACGCCTCACCAAGTACCAGCTGCTACTCAAGGTTCTAGACATCCGAGCCAGTCAGTGATGAAGAACTCTGTAGAGATGCAGCTCACACGATGACATGCATATCTAAAATACTTATTTTTTAGTGCCTCACAAAGGCATTTTTTTGTCCATGTCCATCATTTCAGAAAATCATATTTTTTGCATACTGGTTGGTAGGAAAACATGTCAAAAAAGAGGTAATTTGTTGCCTTTATGCAAACGTGTATTGAGCATAGAGTAGAGAAGTCCAAATTTGTGTGAGAAGCTTTAATTAAGGAATTCCAAAAATGCTTCATTTTGCAATTTGTATAAATCATATCAGCTACAAGACGAGTCTACAGTCATACTAGCGGCTCTGTGAGGCTGTGCTTTGAGCTAAATGTTAATAACGATAGTGCTAACATGTTTACCCTGTTCACCATATTAGTTTAGTTTGTAAGCATGCTAACAGTTGTACTTAGCACTAAACACAAAGTGCAGCTGAGGCTGATGGGAATGTCGTTAGGTTTGCAGGTATTCGGTCAGATATGTGATCATGTGCTCAGGGCAGTCTGGGGTTTTTTTTTTTTTTTAAAAAGGCAGCATTCAGACTGATGAATGGAGAAAGGGATTGGCACAGAGAGCCAAGCAATCAAGACAATTATACCAGCAGCAAGACATACACACTGAGATACAGAAAAAGACACAAGTAGGCATCTTCAGCAGGCACAGACACAAATTGATTTATCCAAACAAAACTGATTTGTCCACACAGACGTTCATGCAGGCAAAAGATCAACTCAGACTAGATTAGATAAAGACACTGACCTGTCAACCTGTGTCTCTGTCCTTGTTCAGGAGCTGTTGAAACACTGTAGGGAGGAGCGATACTGCTTTGAACTCCAGGAGGCTCTGGACTCGATGCTGGAGCTGCTGAAGTCTGTCAATGACTCCATGCATCAGATAGCCATCACTGGATATCAGGTACCAACCAGTCCAGTCAATAAAGAAGATAGAGTAGACTGAATGCCAGATATATGACACATCATTATGCTTTTAGTATTAAATGGTCCAATCAAAGCTTTCAGCACTTTATTCGCCCTGCTCTGACAGGTAGTGACTACAATGTCTGGGGATAGATGTTTTTAATCTATCCTGTTTAGGATTTTCTCATTTAGTTTGCATTATTATGTTTCCCACTGACTTCTATTGGATACATCCAGTTAACTGGCTTTATTTGTTATTTACTGTGTTGACATTGAACTGAAGGTCATTCATTAAAATGTCATTCAATGAGTGTAATGTAATATGTATTATTATTTTTAGCACTGTTTTTCTTGGTATGCTTTTGTTGTTACAATCACAAAATTATAAAAACAATCTGCAATGGCTTGGTTGTAAATATATCTGCGTAATCCCTCAGAGACTGAGGTACAGTATTGAATCACTAAATGTCATTGTATACCAGTGCTTATATGTAAAGGATAGCAAATCACAAACACTTTCCTTTTCATGTTGATAGATACAGTCCATGTAATGTGTTCTGAGTGGAACTGGGAGAGATTAATTCCTCTTTCTATGTTACTTTCTTCTCTGTCCACCTTTCTCTCTGGCCCAGGGTGACCTCAGCCAGCTGGGCAGAGTGGTGTTGCAGGGAGGCTTCAGTGTGTGGATCAGCCATAAGAGGGCAGCTGTGCGAATGAAGGAGCTGGCCAGGTTCAAGCCCATGCAGAGACATCTCTTCCTCTACGAACACGCCCTTCTCTTCTGCAAGCGTAGAGACGAGGACGCTCATGACAGGACGCCCTTTTACAGCTTCAAATCCTGCCTCAGAGTAACAATATATATATGATATATACTTTATTAGCTACACATTTAGTAAATCCTCCCTCTATGAAGCTTGTTGTTTTTGTATATTGTTCATCGGACTGGTCTGAACTGATCATTTTGGAGGCAGGAGTTTGGGGGTTCTATTGAATTGTACTGTACGTTGTTTGTCCTTAGTTGCAATTTTTGATGAAACAAGAATGCAGTCTGTGAGGATGACAGGTTATAGTAAAATGTAATGTCTTTTCCTTCTTTGTGCAGATGAGTGCAGTGGGAATCACAGAAAATGTGAAAGGAGATGTGAAGAAATTCGAAATCTGGTACAGTGGCAGAGAAGTAGTGTACATAGTTCAGGTATTTGATCTTTTGCTTTCTGTTTACTATCTCTTTTTTCATTGCACGTTTTCAATAGTTTCAGTGTCTGTACCTTTAGCTTGTTCACTCACACACCTCTCTTGTGTTATGATCTGTGTGTGTGTGTGTGTGTGTGTGTGTGTGTGTGTGTGTGTGTGTGTGTGTGTGTGTGTGTGTGTGTGTGTGTGTGTGTGTGTGTGTGTGTGTGTGTGTGTGTCCCAGGCTCCCACATTGGAGATCAAAGTCGCCTGGCTGACAGAGATTCGAAAAATTCTCACGAACCAGCTGAGACTGCGTCAAGGTATCATTACTTTTATTACTGCCATTATTCATTTGGTGCCCCCGTGTTTGCTTATTTCTTTGATTTTAAATTTGTTTAACTTAGATTCAGCTCTCATTTCTTTATGTGAAGAGGCAATATAGAACTGTGATCTTTTATTTAACCTCTTTCATGGCCAGAGTAGCTTTTTCTGCTTCTATTTTAAAGGGAATTTCCCACAGAAATATCAGATGTTTGATTGTTACGAAGGTATCAAGTTTGTTCATTGGGTGATTTCCCTAAATGTAAGCCATATGTCTGTGTCCCTTCCTGTTTTCAGATGAGGCTCCTTCTCTTCCACTTTCAGACAATCCTCTCTCTGACAGGTGATTGTCTCTGCATGGCCTCCCTATCATCCTCTGTATCAGTTTATGACTTCCTGGTGTGGGTCAGTTCACTTTGAATCCACTCTCAATTCAGAAATCGATTTAAAACTTGATACATTACGAAAAGGTGCCTCTCACCTTTAATGTTAATGATGGAAATTCAATTTCTGAAATGACTGATGATCAAATAAGCCCTCAGTTCCACCCACATTCCACCGTATCTTTTTATTCTTTTTAATAACACAGAATAATGATTCTCTGTCCCAAAGGACGTTAAAGTTATTGGATGTGTGTCTATGTGATGTATTAGCATCTTTGTCATTCACCTTGAGAACTAGTATTCGTGACGACATCGCCAAGTCCGACAAATGGCTTTAATACTGACAGCTGAATTTCAGTACCACGGAGAGAGCTTTTCACCAAATCTACCGCAAAGACCACGCTAGTTATCTACATTCACCTGGTTCCCCCAGTGTGTAACAGTCCCTGATTTGATGGTTTATAGAGCTGTCTACCAGTCTACTTAAACAGTGTTTGACAGTTATGTTATTGATCCTGAGGTTAAGCAAGCGTTTAAACATCACAGTGTGAGTAAATGAGCAAAAACTTAAGTTTAGTTTACATGTTAGGTGTTCCTTAAGAGATAATTTTAAGTGTGAGTCAGTAAAATGTGTTGGGACTCTGCTCTTGTTAGTCATTGAAAGTACTAGTTCTCCAGGATAATGTCAAAAATGGACCTTTACAGGGTGTTTGTGTTAGTAGCTACTGATGTTCTGTTCACTGATAGCATGCTAGCATGTTATACTTTTGATGAATGGTTCTTCTGAGCTTGTTGTTGACTTGTTGTTGACTTGTAATGCAGGAAAATGATCAACACTGACGCATACAGTTTTTTCGGGTAACAAATATGTTAAGACTGTGGTGTAATTTTAGAACTTAAAGGATAAGGCAGGCAATATTATAAATTTTTCTTTTTCAACAAATTAAATTTAAGTATTATTTGCGTAGCCTAAACATGATATATATTCCTCCATTGCCCAGAAACAATTAAGAACGAATCAGTGAGCCACACCTAAATACTAGTGCACCAATTTCGTATTAATCTGTAGTCCCCACCAAATGGTGCTTCCTCCTGTTTGGATAAATGTTTGCCAAAAACTACAGTGACCGGCTATTTTAGGGAATTACATAACATTTTTGACAACTCAAACTGTATATCTGTGACCTGTTTTCAAAGATTTACATCTTTAGTAGACACCAATGGACTCAAGGTTAGGGAAGTCAGACAGCACTGAGAGACGACCAGTATAAAACAATGTCCTTTTCCTTCCTTGATGTAGATGCATTCACAAAGACTCACAGTTCAGCTGTCAAAGTATCTGAGCATTGAATAATAATCATGATCAGATATTGTCTTGTGGGATTTTTGATTCTTCCTAACGTTTGATACTTTTTGAATGATTTATGTACATGATGTTGGGGTAGATCACATTGTAAGTGTTTGTACTTTATTTAGCAGATGGGTAGGCTTTAACATACTCAGGCAAAGTGACTTTCAAATATCGATGTGCGATCGTTAGACTATATAGGACAAACTCCACCCATCTGCTACTTAAAGCAGGTTAAACCACACTGTGTACTCAAAATTATATTTCCATATATTGCAGCAATCTCTGATCTAATTGATATTTGTGTTATAAACTCAAACATCCTTAAAATCAGATGCTGAAATATATGTGAGTGTGAACTTAATGGAATGCTGTATTAATTTACAGAATGTGGATGAGCTCGTTTTGTGACACCGTGGATGTTGTTGTTGTTGTTGTTCGTTTTTGTTTGTCGTGGTCGTGTCTTGTTCCCATGGTGATGCGGTTTAGTACATCAGAGATGTGTGTGTCGTGGGGCGGAGCGTCGGTGGGAGGCTGCTCAGCCTGTCTCCCTGTTCCTCACAGCTACTCTGCAACAAACCACTCCCACAGGCACCGGGGGGATGAGTCAACTCACAGTAGCCCCGCCCACTCAGACCCTGTGGTTCACTCACCTCGACGCAGTGAGTCGCTGCAACACACAAACTCACACATCAACTACTTTTCTCAACAGTTTCTGGCTGGAAAGTAATTGTTTCCCACAATTTTTAAAAAAGTTTCTCCTCTAAACACTGGTCAGTCTTTCTTTGGTCAGATCTTAAACAATGTTTCAACTTTACTTTAAACTTAGGTTGTCTTTGATGGAAAACATAGAACACACACAGAGTTAACTAAAAATAACACACTAAATTTACAATAAAAATATGTAAACAATTACTAAAACCTATAACACAGAACTACAAGCATTTAACATTTTGATGGCATTTAATAGAAAAGGTAAAGGCTAACCATGGACTACACTGATAATAAATATTTCTACACTCTTAGATCCATGCAATATGGAATCACTTTATTTAGCAAGCTATGGTCTATCTCAGTGTTTCCCAACCTGGAGGTGGGGACCCCAACTAGGGGTCGCCAAAACTTCACAGGGGGTTGTGATGTAATCTTGATTTTAAGCCTGCTAGAAAAGTTAAAAATGTATACCATACATACACAGTAGTCCTATATCTCAGCATTTGGTTCACTTCTGTGAAGAAAAGTAAACATAAAATAAATTGTCTGATAGAACAATGGCCAAGGGTCAGGGATAATAAAACACTGAATTTGTAAAAAAAAAAAAAAAAAAAAAAAGAAGCCAATTAAGTCTGTATGACTGTTAAAAATGATAAAACGAATACATAATACAGACAGAATTGTATAAAAGGTTCCCTTTACAGGAAATAACCTGCTAAAAATTCATCCAAATCATTTGTTTTACCCAAACTCCTTGCAGTTACTGAATTCACTATTTGGGTTAATTGTATAGTTTTGAAAATAATATTAAATATACATAAAATATGTCACTTAAGCAGGGGTCGTCAGTTTACTAAATGATAGAAAAGGCATCCTTAAAGGAAATAGGTCTACCTGACCTTCATCTGAGCACACAAAATACAACAGTGGACAGGCAGGAGCAAATAACCAGTCCTAATCATTGGCAGTACGCAAAACACCTGTGTTCAGCCTGGTGGCAGAGGCTCCACCTCTTGGATAATGTAGTCTCCAAATTCTGTGAGGCATACAAATAGAAACCATAGTTGTAACAAAATACAAATAAATGTTTTGGTGTTTTGTCCGTTGTTGTATTTTGTATGCTCTGTTGAAGGTTAGATAGACAGAAAGCTTGCTAAATAAAGTGGTATATTTATACTTATATATATCTGTACTATGAGTTTGGACACGTTGAGGTTTCCAGCACATGAACAAAGATTTAGCAGGCTGGAGCGGTTGTCATCATGCATATTAATTATGGACTACAACCATGGAGTTGTAGAAGAGTGGTTACTAATGGTCTCCATGGGGGTTTCAACACACATATCTTTACTTTTCCTGAAGCAGAAACAGAGGTTTGTTTGCAATAAAACAGAAGATTATTCGTTTTCATGAACACCCTGGATGACCTGAACAACATCTTTCTCACGTATTTCATTTCTCACACTCGATACACACATATTGTCTACAGTTTTTAGTCGTCTCAGCTGTCTTGTCACCTGCAGCTTGGCCAGTCCCTGCCCACTCAGTGGCAATCTGTGACGGCCTGGAGGACTGGGGTGCAGCAACAGACCTCTCTAACTTATCAGACTCAGACGAGGAGGATCAGCCCGCTCCACTGGTGAGATTTTGTTCCTGTCATGGCACAGGTTGGACTGGAAAAATTATGTGTTGTTATGTTTAGCATCTTGAGACATATACCAGCTACTAACAATGATGCGTCGCCTCCCTCAAATGGATGGTGGGACCGGGAATGAAGTCCTGTTGCATTGCCAGCCACACTCTGATGACCGACAGCTCAATGGGCAAACGCAGACAGAAACTTTACCAAAATACCTCTGAGATGAGGCTGAACAGTCATTGTCCATCACGTTTTCAACAATCTGCAGCATGCCAGCCTACTTGTGTTTTTCATTTCCTCCCTCCTCCTCCTCCTCCTCCTCCTCCTCCTCCTCCTCCTCCTCTCTTTTGCTCTCCTCCCATGGCAGGCTCACATTAGATAAGACCCTATCTTGCACATGTCTATATACCTATCTATCTGTCTGTCTACCTTTCTAGAGATATAGACTGTTGTGCATGTGGAAAAGTTTAAAAATGCACTGTTCTCTTGTGTTTTATTTGTCTTTCTTTCTGTTCCAGGTGGCGGGCAGGTACAGGGTCATGGTAGAGAGCAGCATGGCCAGCACGGATGACATCATCTTTAACAGTGGGGATGTCATCCAGCTGCTGCATGAGGAATTGTCGGGAATGTGGTAAAATACGCTGCGTGTTTTCAGAAACGTTGATAATTACTGATAATTTAAAATTGAGATGCAGATTAAAATACTGAAATTTAAGCGTCTGTGTTTTGTTTACGCGTGTGTGATCGCAGGATGGTGAGGAATGTAAGTCGTGGCGAAGAAGGCCGTGTTCTGTCTGAGGACCTGCACAGGATTCTGGGAGAGACCTGCTAAGAGCCAATCAGAACCGTGGATAGATGTGTTCCATTCTCCTCCTGTTTTAGTCACTTTTTTGGCTCAACCTTTTCTCCGACTAACACACTCTTAACATCCTGACCAAAAGGGGGCATCTGACTCTGTAAAGACGTTCATCAGATCATCAGATTGAAACACATCAACCACATATTTTACTCTTCAAACTACTGTGACACTTTCACCTCAGAAGGCTGTAAACTACAGAACGGACCTCAGAAGACTGTACCCAATGCAAAGCACATACTATGTGGGACCTCACAGATCCGGCGCCTTCTTTTTGTTTATCTATATTTTCAATTGTAATACAGTAGATTATTTTGGGTCATAACTAAAGATGGCTTTTATTCATACGTACAGAATGGACTTTTGTTGAAGACTTCAGGTTTTATCCTTTCTATTTTCTTATGAAATATCACAGAAATCATGCATATGCCTACAGACATATCATTACTGTTCATATGTGCCAAAACGCTCAGATAATTATTGTGGCTTCTTTTTGTATAACACCGTCCATTATGGAAAACAGGTTTACCTCGCATTGTCATTGTTTTCCATGAATTTAAACCTTTCTTACAGCAGCCAGCTACGTCACCAGAGGGTATGAATGTGATTTTGACATATGCTTAAAATCGCATTAAGGGGACTCCTTCGTAGCGGTTTGTTTTGCCACTCACTGGTGTTGGTTCAGGATGTATGTGAAAATGTCATTGCATACCTTCTATAGATCTTCTTCAGCACATCATAGCAGGAAAAGAAAAAAAACAGGTGTAATTAATTATGTCACAATATTGGCTTCTCGCAATATAGCCTCGGTCCTGTGTGCATGGCGCCTCAGTGGGAAATTTCAAAGGAGCAGAGCCATCGTTAATGTTATTAGTTCCTCCTGTGCTTCTCCTGCTATGACGATTGAAAATGTTTCCTGAGGAAAAAAACCCGCTGCGGCACTCCTTGGTCAGCCCTCATGATGGACTGGGTCTGGGGGAAGTACTGCAGTACTTATGCAGGATAGACGCAGTGTACACTGGCTGTCATTGTAGCTGGTTGTTGTAATATATAAATTGCAGGTCTTTTGAAGAGAGTTAATTTTCCTATTTATTCTTGCTGCTGTTGATAATGTGTTACATGTTTCCTGTGTAATTAGTTGATTTTGGATTGGTGATAGTTCTGCAACTCTTCCATAATCATTAGCTGAGATGAGGCAAGCTTTTATGTTTCCGTTTGTGTGCTGCTCTGCATGGACAAACCACCGCACATACCTACTGTTTTGTTTCTACCTGTACTACATTTTACACCAACAGGGAAGCTAGACTCACTGTTGGGTAGTGACTGTAAGTGGAGTAGTTTAGAATTTAACTATTACAGTTACATTGTGGATTCATGAAATATTGATTTGATTAGATTTTTAATTATTTTAAAACTGACCAGACTGATTTTCTGTTAAACACTGCCACTTTACCACCATATGTGCTGAAGGGCAGACAGATACAGTATTATACCCACAGCTTTTGGAATCAACTACAGTTAACTGGACTATATAAATCTGATCCCCCTGGTAACACTAAACTTAATATTAACACTTAATGAAGATAAGTTTTTACAGTATTTAACACCCTCAGTGGGAACATTGAAGTCACTTGATAGGAAGTGCTGGACTGTCTAAATAAAATGTGTCCAATAAAACACATTAATAAATAACATTTTATCATGTTATTTATTTATTTTTTTTAAATCCACCCAATGTGTGTTATACTGTAACCTCATAATAAGTTGATAATGAATTTGTTCAGTCAGGCTATGATATGTTTTATCCACAGTACCTTAAACTGGTGTTTGCTACTTTTGCTCATTTTGCACTGTTTTGATATTTTGAATCATTGTGAAAGCTTGTATTATAATGCATATGATTATTTTCAAAAATATAAGCACAGGGTTATTTGATTTGATTCAACCTGACTGCTGTGATTTTTTTCACTATATGATATAGTCTAGGTCCTAGCTTCAGAAAGGGAGAGCCCTACACCTAGACATGTATCTTGCCTAATTGGACTTCCTCTCAGGACTATGTTGGTGTACAGAATGTGTTTGATTGACATCTCTCTAACTGCTGCTGGTTGTGGTGCACCTGTTAGGGTGGGACAGCTTACATCTTTATCATTCTTATGTTAAGGTAACACCATAATTCACTTAACATTTGTAAAAAAGTGGGGATAAACGGGTAGATGTACTTATTTCCTGTTAAAACTGAACCTTCGTTGAGTTAAATCTGCCTTTTTTAACTGCATTTTGACACAAGAAAACCACAGTGTGATTAATGTTAATTAGTATTATTAATCATGGCTATACTCCTAAGTGCCCTGCCATTGTGTTTGTTGGCGCACTGATACATTAATTGGTGTAATGGAACTGAGCCATTGTTAATTGTACACCTTTACTTTTATGACAAGTAACAATTAAATTTTTGATTAAAAGATATACTTATAAACCTGCAGATTGCTGTTGTTGCAATTAGATATATTATTTATATATTGCATTTATATATATATATATATATATTAGATATACTATTTCCTGCTCCTGTGGAATTCCTCCACAGCCTGCAAGTAAGTTTCACTTTAGTAATTCAGGTGACATAACATTATCCCCATCATAGCTTCTCTGCCCAACTTCAGCCTGCACAGAGGTCTAATAATCCCCCTTAAGTGAAATCACTTGTGTGGTGAGCAGTAGTGATGTGTTTTTTTGAGGTATGTGCAATCATAGGTCAAACTATTGCTATGTTTGGCTGAATTACAAGAGCCAGAATTGGTACTAAATGAAGAGAGTCGAAAGAGCCAGCTCTTAATGCGGAGCTAAGCCAAATGATCTGGCTCACTAAAAGAGCCTTAACTCGAATCACTAATGAGCCCTGCTCTTTAGCATCTGATTAAACATAATGTACTCAAGATTACATTAAATATTTATTTTTGCATACAATTGCATACAAGGTGTTATTTTGCAATATTTCAAACAACATGCAAAATACTCTTATTGGATAATCAAAATAAACATGAGTGATTTCTCTCTTGATTATTCAGTAGTAGTAAAACTGACTTTTCCAATGGCTAACTAGACAAATGCTATGCATGTTTTGCTGACTCACAGCTGAGTTATCCCTACACATTGACTCCATTTGTCAGTTAGTTAATTCGGATCCCTGTTGTCTGACTGATCCACGGGTAGTACCGTGAGACTCGAGTGTAGATGCCGTACTTCCCGTCCTTGGCACACTCCTCGCCCCAGCTGACGATGCCTGTCAGGAACCAAGTGCCTTTGTAATTGGTGGCATGTGGCCCCCCACTGTCTCCCTGGCATGAATCCTTCTGTTCACTTTGGAAGCCAGCACAGAACATATAGCGCGTGACGTGGTGCCGGCTGCTCTGTTTGCACAGGGTGCGGTCCACGTAGGGCACCTCCAGCTTCTGAAGTTTGGTGGCCTCGAGGCCCAGGAACTTTAGCCGTCCCCAGCCGCTCACCAGAGAGCTGCTGGACTCCCTCAATAGGTTCTCTATAAAGTCTTTGGGGCCCAGGCAGATGGGCCGCCGTTGGTAGGACAGTTCCACTGGACTGGCAAGCTTCAGTAGTGCAATATCATGGTTATACGGTGACTTATTGAAATCGTACATGTGGTGGGTATGCTGCTTTTCCACCAGATAATCTCGCTCTGGACCCTCTTCCTTGCTCACGTCATGTTCACCTAGAAGTATAGACTTATATATTATAATGTGATTATATCATTTTCTGCACAAGGCAATGTGTGTGATGGGTCTAGCACCTTCTGAAGTCAGATTACTGCATAAAACGAAAGCAAGTAACATCAAATTTTAAAAAACAAACAGCAAACAAAGTAGTTTTACTCATGAAGCTGAGAAGAAAAATTTACATTGATGGTCTTACTAACACTTTACCTAGCTGCAAAATACATAGGTATTTATAGGAGAACTTAACATGGTCTTCTGTACTTTATGAGATATGGATCAGAGATGTAGAATGTAGAGTATTTAGAAAATATTAGTTTTTCCTACCCACTCTGACGAAGAAACTTCGTTTAGCAATACTAGCTTGTGTCAGACAATGGGCAGCGGTTATGACCCATAATTCACTGAGCAGAGATCCTCCACAAAAAGGCTCCGCTCTTTGAAGGACTGCTGAATGAGACATCAGAGCCACCTGCAAACACACACACACACACACACACACACACACACACACACACACACACACACACACACAACACACACACACACACAAATACTTGAATAAGCACAAATCGACAGAACAGAAATAACAGCTAGGTATTTGTGTATACCCAAAATCCCCTCCATCCCTCATGTATGTCCCATAATGCAGCTTTTGTTAAATCAGCTCTTCTTGCTCGCATCGTTAAAACTCCTTATGGCTAGATTGTAAATCAGGCTTTTTGTGTCTAAACCAATAAACCACTCAACCAATCAATCATCCAAATGATGAATAACTATTCCCCCATAGACTTCGGAGTCTGTGGAGTGTCCCTTTATAAGGCCAAGAAATATACCAGGCCAAGTCAGTTGGCTGACAGCTTGTCTGGCCTATTTTCTGTTTAAGTACAAAATTCTAAAGCTAAATTATGTCAATTTGAAGTATCACAATATTTAACTATGTCTCCTCCTTTTTTAAACTTTCCTTTTTTGCTCTTTTTGACATTTCTTGGGATTAACTTTTGCGCTTTAATATCTTAATGCTTTTGTGAGGCCTGTTTATGCAAAATTAGATGAGAGAGAAATTGCTAGGTTCAAGCATCAGCACTGCTGTAGTGACTACCATTTTCTAAATGAAGCATCAGATTTTTTGACCTCCCTGGAACTAAGCAAAAACCACCAGAAAACATCCTGATCCCTTTGCCTTCGACTCATCGCCATCTCTCCATTCTGCACACAGTACCTGCCAAGGTATCTCTCCAACAATGGCCTCGTTGCCTCCCACAATCCTCTGGTCAGTGTTTTCTTTTTCCTTGATGGTGGGGAGTGTGGGGTAGAAAGCCTGGAAAAGCAGTTGCTTTGACTCTGTGGGCGTTTCGGTGACAATGCTAACCTCCCCACTGCTCATCACAACCTCAGCTGGATTTTCAGAGGAGCTGGAAGCCAACCTCACTGAACGTATGTCTACTTCAGGGACCACAGAAATGTTGAACAGATCTGAATCATTCGTAAGGAAGTCGTAGTCATCATATTGCTGTGTTATATTGTCATCATAGTAGTCATCCTGCAGGGTGAAGCTTGAATTGTGTTTTCTTTTAGAGCTGTGTGTCATGTTTGCTGACCGAAGGTTCACGACAGATCTGGTGTTGGTGTTGGAGGTGGAGGGCATGTTCACGCTACCACAGCTGAATTGTTCTGAGGGAGGAAATAAAAAGGCAAAACAAAGAGGGAGATATTCTAGTTTTGTATCTTAAACATAATTAAATAATACAGAATTATTACAGTGTCAGATTTTTTTCACACCTGAGGCAGTTTGCTTGCATGACTTTTGCTATTTTGTCAAAGGCAGAGGTTGCAAAAAGTGTCCACTTATTTCTACTCCAAAACAATTCAGAGGAAAATATTGTATTTTCTACTTCACTACATTTATCTGACAACTGTAATTACTACTTTAGAAATTCAATTATTTGCTTCCAAAACAAGTGCTTATCAAATATTATGTTTTGTAATAAATTAAACTACCCAACAGTATATACGATTAGTCAATTAATCGATTAGTTGATTGAAGTACTAATTTTTACAAACCAACAATGAGTTGATTAATGGAGAAAATATTCAACAGATTAATTCATAATGAAAAAAATAATCATAAGTAGCAGTCCTATACAAAATAGTTTGAAATGAGATGACTAAAATCCTGC